CGGTATTTTAAATGTTACGAGATCACAAAAAGGTGTCAGTTCATCGCCCATGCGAAAGAGGCTCGAAGGTAGGTGAATATTGTTAAAGTCATGCAGCACGCTGAAATAGACATCTTTCTCAAGTGAATAATGCAGTAAGCTCAGTAAAACTAAAATGAATGATACACTCCTGTAAAAATGTCGATAACCCATCATGTTTCGATAGTAGGCCTAAACGAGTCCTACTTTATTTCGCTTTGGTTGGCCTGTCGAGTGAGGTCTTTCATATTGCGTCGTATGGGACTTAATATATTTCTAGATTACAAATTGAAAATGGGCTTTAGATTAGTCCTGTTCTCGACAATTCCTAACTCAGATCACGTTTACCTACAGTATTTTCTACATGTACCTTCAAATATTGGTAGGAGATGGTCAAAACTGCACAGTGTATTTCATTTGGCCACATTTATACAAAGTTGTATAACATTTTACCAATTTCTTCTTACCAATTACTTTGATACCATTCATTTTGTGAGTGTACGAGTAAAGACCATCACCACACCCGACTTTGCGGCGAGACAATATTAAGGATTTTCATATCGTGCTCAACTTGACTATGCAAGCGTTTTACCATGTCTTTCGGATTTTTTGTGTACCATTTTTGTATAACCCTGTGAGGCCAATGCGAATATGTAGTATTGAAAATCACAGGCCGTTTTTGTTTCAAAGTTCAAGCACTGATACACCCATCCAGCGTTCTCAGTCCCATGATGCGTAAAATATTGTTTATGATTAGCTTTGCCGTTGTGGTGTAATATTCCGTTCCGACCAGAAAGCGACCATTCTCCATTGAAAATTGATATCTTTATGTGCTGAATTATGTAATTAGCTCATTAAAAATAAATGAATAATACAATCTGGTAGAAATGTCGTTTTATTCTATTGTGTTTAGAAAGTAAAATGGGCCCCATTTGTTCTCCACTTGCCAATCGAGTCCAGTCTTTCATATTGCACCGTCTGGTACATATTTTAATCCTGTTCTCAACATGCGGAATTGATTGCTTCATCCTTATAATATGCAACATCAGACCTGTGTTGCAAGGAAACTGACTATAAAATGGCCAAATCAGTAATTATTTCCAAGCCAAACAACTATACGGGATGAACTTAAGTTTTGCAGTTTGTGAAAGCAGAAGGCCAAAGTCACGCAAACTGTTTAGTGCTGTCGAATCAAAACGGTTAATGATATAAATCCTTAGGTCTTATATCGCAATACGCAGTTAAGATCGGATTTTTGTTGTCCACATTACGGGTATCAATGGTGCCAAAGTTACAGCAGTTTTGCAAACAGGACACATTTATTGTTTTTATTGTTTTATATGATAGGGGGCCTAGTTCTTAAGTTAAACTTGCCTGAATTTTTTATCTCTGTTTATCTCTACTTTGTATGATCGTCAGTATATGAAGGATACCATTAAAAATGCTAGTAGAAACAATGAAATTGCTATTTTCTGGCACTACGTCCCCATGGCGGCGATCAAAAACGTGGGGCTTAATATGCAGTTTGGTATGTTTGAAGCGAACTCAGCAATTGGAAGTGCAACGTGCACGATTTAACGTGTGTGGCAATAACGGTGAATGTTTCACAGTGCAGAAATTGCCAATATGTATTTGTTTGGCTTCATCACGTAAGGTTCACCATGCTAGAAACCGTTGGTTTGTGCAACATTGATATTAATGCTTATGTGGAAGCAGCTGATGTACTTGAGCGATATTGGAGGACGTAGTCTGATTATTGCAATATGCAATATGCTGCTCCGAAAAAAATGACAGGAAACAGCTGCATTGTAGTCCTGGAGTCCTTATCAATTGGCGAAAGACAGCGTATTGCACAATGGGGGATTCCCCAAACCGTTTTCTGCGACGCAATGCTTGCAATCACAAAAGTGTTGTCCAAATCTGCAGAAAAATGTACTGGAGAAAAAGTCATACACAAGTAGAAACTTATTTATAGAATTAGGCCATTTCTTCCCTGGAGTTTTTGCAGAATCCATCTTTTTTATTCCTGTGGCTTTGCAGAAGTAAAGAACAAAGATAGCCTAGTCATATTTTAGTTTCATGTTCTTTAATGTGTTTTTATGCCTATCTTTTTGTTCCGCTTGGTTACTGTAATACCCGTAATTCATTTAAAATCCTTTTATTCGTAGTTGTTTAGAAGTTGAACATTGACATTCAAAATCATACCCTCAACTCGTAAACCTTGGCTACCATTTTATATGGGCTGCAAAAACTTGCAGAAAGTTCATTCCTTGCTGTAAAGATCTGTTTTCATCTGAATGCGCATTTTCTTTTGATCAGGTGCTAATCTAAATGCGATCCAGTGCTATCTAATCAACACGGTAAATTCTAAAGCTTCGTATCACGATATGCAATTAAGACTGTTGGTGTTCTTCACATTACCGATATAAATGGTGAAAATTTACATATCAGATTTGGCAAGATTGATAGGACACATCTGTAGTTATGGATTAATAACACACTCTTAATGAAACATACCTAAATTATTTGCTCTCTGCTTTGTTATGTACAGGGGCTGAATGTCTACCTACTGAATCTACTTTGCTTGATGATCGTAAGTGCTAAACCTTGTGTAGGCAGGAAGGATATCATTAATCAATAATGCTAATAGGAAAAATCGAGATTGAGGTCCTTGTTTTATTAATTTCTGACGCTAGTTCCCCAAGAATGTGATGGAAACTTATGGCTCAATGTCCAATGTTTGGTGTGTTTCAACTTGACCGCGCAATTCAGAGAACAACAAACGGGGTTCAATGCGTTTGGCAATTAACAAAATGTGCTGAGCGAATACAAATTTGCCAACCCTTCAACTTTTGCTACTATTTTATAAGCGCTGCAAAAGTTTGCAGAAAGTTCATTCCTTGCTGAGAAGACCTGTGTCACCAGAAGGCGCATTTCATCTCATTTAAGGTAACAATCATAGCATTGAAAATACCCCGGACAACTCTAACACTCTCCGATATTTAGGAAAGTGTAAGACATATTAAAGTCGCATTTATAATCCCATAAAGACATATCAAGGTACACTGGGCCAAAATGCTATACAAAAGTTTTGGACATATTTGAAAGTTGGAGCGTTTTTGATTTTGAAAGAAGTTTTTCATTTTTGTATCTCATATTTAATCAAAGGTTAGACTTTACCCTCTAAAGACTTCGTTGAACAATTAACCACTTTTTTGTAAACTTAATTTGAATATAAACAATGTTTTCGAAATTCATAAACGTCGTTGTTCTCTTGCTGAACACCATCCATCATCACTTTAAACATCCCTCAACAAACACATACTCGCATTTGATTTCGACAAAAAAACAAAAACCAAATTTTTGCAGCACAAGGATAATTTTTATATTTATTTCGATGGGTTTGAAGATTAACAAGGATGAGTCAATAACTTCTTCTGGTGAGTGATAACTTGCAAAAAGTTTTAAAGAGCTTGCCGAACCGTTCATTTTATGTTGTGACTTGATCCCATTTTAGACGTCCAAAGGTGCAAACGTGACAAGTGTTCTCTCCACTGAAGGCATGTTAATGTGCTGTTCCTTATTACCCGATAAAAGCCGAAATAAAATGAGAACATCTGTTTGGTTATATGGTTACTAATAAATCCAGTGGCCTGTTAAATTTATGGACTTAGTGCAAAGTACAGTACATATACCTCTGTGCGGAATATAATGCTCAACGACATGGTTTACATACAAGTGCAATGTTTGTGACACACAACTGTTTACACACAGTTAAAAGCCACGAGTGTTATTTATAGATGGATTGTATGCAAAATAAATGTCAACAAATTAAAAAAAAAGAGTTAAAGTGCATATTATGGAACCATGTCCAAATACTGTAAAATTACACAGGATATGTCGATGCGATTAAGGTGTTTTGATGTTGAATTAAATGTATGTTGTCAAGGATTTTGTGTAGTGTAATGTAACGAAAGTAGCAAATGCGAACGCGGGCCTACGAAACATGTTGAAAATTTCATGCCTTGCCTTTAACACTTAAAAGCGATGCTACAATGCACTTAAAACATTCAATTAATCTAACAGACTTACAACAACAACCAGTTTGAGTGCAAAACAATATCACCCAAAAGAACCTTTTCATGAGTAATGCTGTTTGGCATTCACCCTTTAACCGTTTTTTATGTGATGTGGTCATGCTGGCCTACCCTTAACTGCTTTTAAAAGGTAGTTTCAATGGATCTCCAAATGCAAACTTTGCTTCCCATTTAACCGCATTTGCAAATTTTATTTCACTACTGCAAGGGGTGTGTTACTATCTGTTTGATTTTTATGGTTACGGGTTTTCCATCTTCATGAACAAAACTGGGATGCCATTCTGAGTAGCCAGCCTGAATGTTACACCTGGCTTCGGGCGGCAATAAAAGACGTCGACTATAAATAACAGGCGCAAAATACTTATCTGTGAACTTTAGCGATATTGCAGGTTGTAGCCGGGTTGTTTGGACGCAGCATTGCTGGACAATATTCAAAACCATTAGTGATTATGCAAGATGAATAGTGCTCAGAATCATGACCGCAAACGGCTGCACTGAAGACTTAGTCCCTATATTTGGTAAAAGACAGAGCATTGCACAATGGGACTTCCAAAACCCATTTTCTGAGATGCAATGCTTGCAGTCTCAAAGGTGGGCTTTGTTCAAATTTCCAGAAAAGAATATTTGAGAAGATATAATCAAACATCCAGAAATCACCAACAAAATTTGGAGAATTTATTTCATTTGTTGAAGAATTTGTTTTTTTACGACTTTGTACTAAATAGTCGAGGACACACAGGTATATCCTAGTTTTTTTGTATTATGAATATCCCGTTTAAACTTCATTACATGCTACCCAAATATGAATTTACCATTTTTTATTTCAACAGACTCGATGATATGCCAGGATGAGACGTCAAGAATTTCTTGTGGTAAGTGACAACTTTCCAGAAAGTTGTAAAGATCTTGCTAGCCCGTTAATTATGTTCTTGATGCTTTTTTGGACGTTTGAAGCTACCTCCGTCACAAAGTCACAATACTTTGAAATTGGGTTTGGGTTTCATGAATAAACGGTTATTATTATCTAACAATTTTTATTTAACTGTAACGTGTTTATGTTATGTTTTTCGTATATTTTGTTCCTACCTGGATGACATATACGCAGTGTCAACAAATAGTCTCCGATCAAATACCTGTCTTGAAGTTATTGCGAGAAGTCTTCAGAACGATCGTATCGAGCAAGTTACGGACACCAGCATAAAAAATGACTATGGAGAACAAGAATCTGAAACGTCCATCGTTAAAAATGGTATGTAGGCCTAAGTGCAACAACTCCCGCGCCAACCAATGAAGGGTTGCGCGGCATTGGCTTATCCAACTAGTGGTGTGTGGGGGGGGTGGGGGGAACTCAAAAGCGAATACAGATTCGGGGACATTCAACACGATGTTTGATGAGAAAAATGTTAAAAGCCTTCTTTGTGGTCCCGACATCCTCGCTTATAATTCCTGGTGTTTTTTTTTTTAGGGTTTTGGTTCTATTATTTAAGAAAAAAAGTAAGGGGGCAAGTTTCCGCCAGCCCCCCTTGGATACGCCACTTGTGCGTGTAATTTTACAAAAGCAGTTTAGTAAGCAGTTTTGCCTTACTTTTTACTTTTTTCCTGATTTGTCTCGTTTCATTTTTTTATGTACAAGTGTTTGTGACTATGACAACAACCGTTGCTCCTTTTCAATGTTGAAGCCATCTTGGTCTCTGAATATATACCTGTGCAAGGTTTTTTTTTTCTTATGGTCGGATGAAATAACGTGAAACAGTGGCGTAAATATTTTTTCTGGAAGAACATTTTGGCTATTTACATGTCGACGTTACTCTGAGCAGAGCAAACTCGTTGATGATCCTGAAAGAAAGCTGTACAATTTCAATTGCACACAGTCAAAGAAACCAGATGCACCGAATCTGGAACAGAAGAAAGATAAAATAAGCAGCAATGCGATATATGAAGCGGTGCATACAACGAAATTGATTTGTATCTGCCTGCCTTTTCTAGGCACGCAGGTAACTGGAATACCTCTCTCCGGATTCGATCAAAACGAAATGTCATCCAACTTTCCGTTTGTTTGCAAGGCGAAAGGAGACGGAAATTTGATCATCATTGGCGGAAACACCACAATTTCCCAACATCAGAAGGCATCAGGTGATTTGAAATTTAAAAGAAAAGAAAAGACCGACTAAACAATATATTTATTCCTAACAAGTTAACGGCAAAATTTTCAATCAAGCTTAAATATCAATTTGTGGTAAAATTCCACTTTCTTTCCCTGAATTGCGTTTTCTCAATAAAAAAAAAATCTAAGGTCACAGGCTATGCGCAGTACTCGACCAGATTGACCTGTTTCTCTTGGAAAACTTAAAAAGTACGTCTGCCCACCATATCAATTCATGCCCACAGGTTCTGGACACGCGATAATTGAGGGCGCTGGGATATCCACTAGAGATCTCGACTCTGAGGTGGATCCACCCCGGCGTCGAGGTCTTCAGTAGGCATCCAAACGACCACAAGGTAAGGCAAAACAAGTTCTAAGCTCAAGTACCCGAGTAACGGCGGGACTGCATCGACCTATTTAGATTTAGCATAAATATCTGGGTACTAAATGTTTAATAAATGATCGATACTCAAAATGAGTGCTAAATATTTCATTAAAATGGTTTTTAATGATACAGGTTTTCCTGGCCAAATTCGGAAAATGTGTAAATGAATTAGTAATGGCAACATTCGTTTCGAGTGAAAATTCTATTTAACTAATAAAAAATTCTATTTCAGTGAAGTAGCATTCAGTCGGATATTGCACTGGTGGCATTCATTTTTGTGCGAAATCGAATGTACTTCTGCAATCCTGCAGTCATCTTAATTTGAACTCAATCTATTTCGCAAAATGTTCAGGCGATTTCGCGCGAAATGTTATTTAAGGTATACCTGGTCCAGAATTGGAATTCGTATTTTCTTAGGAGTGTTTAGTTGAATGGTTAAATGTTCATATATTCATAGCTGAAATAGACCATTCATGTTGTCTTTAAAAACATACCGACTATTATACAAATCCTATAAAAACACTGACGCCGAGGTAACCTTTCCTTCTCGTGCTACGTTTTTGCCGCAATCATATAAAATACACACGTGGCCTTCTTGAAATGGCTGAATGGGAATATACAGAAGAATCATAGACTTTAATTGATGTACATTTTGATAACAAACACACGTCCATTACGTCCATTATCAAAGTGGTGTCATGATTTCTGTAACCCTGTAGGCCTATATATCTGATCAAATTGAACGCAAATTTTGTGAATTTGAATGAAGCAAATGAAAATGAATACTCAATACCGACCGTTTATGGTAAAAGACAGATTTTCGGTGAATAAGATTGTACATTGGTTACAACTGGCAAAGAATGCGTCAAATCGAAATCCTAATCTCTTATTTGTAGCCTCTTAGATGAAATGTAATGCATATTATTTACTTGAAGGATGCAAAACGAAGTCGAATGCTCGTATTGCGAAAATAAAACCAGGTTTTAAGTCGTTTTCAACAACCACGCCAAACTGAACTTTTACTTTACCAATCAAACAGCACATTTTCCAAAAATTGGCCAGGAAACCTATATTAGTTGAGGGTTTAAAGTCGATCTAATACATATGCATTGCCTGTCGAGTTTATATGTTAAAAGGGTCGCTAATACAGTGACATCTATCCGAAGTCCCAAAAGAAGCTGTGACGGACGTGCTTCTGTTTTCCCTACCGACCACATACGCAGAAAGAAACACATATGCCCACATTTTTGTGTGCCACCATTTTGTCATGTGTTGCAGGGGTATACTATACTCCTGAAAGATAATTGTGCAATTGCCTGGCTAAGGTGACTTGTCAATTGTTGTCACACTCTTGATCTTTTGTTCTTTTCACATACTTGTTCGATCGATCTTCCATGCCCGTCTGTCCTCCCACGATAACCTAATAGATCATACCCCCAGAAATACAAGAGAAACTTTGAACTGAATGTATATAATAAATTAATTACAATGTTTGAGACGACCTGATTCAACATTATCTCGTGGGCGGGTATACTTATGATGAAATCTGCTGTATACTCCAAATTGGACATGACTTGGGTTGCACGCAGGCACACGGAAGTCTTTTCAACAGTAATGTTTCTTTGTTAGCTCCATAAATATAGTGCTGACAAGCTGGCAGGCTGTCTGTGCTCATTGGCCTATCCACCATGGCATACACACCCACAAAAACAATATTATCTGAAAATTAAATCAAGTGATAATTGCCCCCAAACATTCAATAAGCAGTTACGTATCCACGGCACAATTGCCCAAAGCAATTTGCTATCGAGCATTTGCGGATTTCCAGGTGAAATTGAGGGGAAAAAAGAAAATGATTGTATCGAGTGGCAGATTCCTTCTAGAATTCCATGAACACACCTCAACACATCTTTACAGTAGGCAAGAGTGAACTGAACTGCGGATAAGTTTGCCTAAATATTTTGCAGAAAACTTTTCCCCCCTTAAGAAAATCATAAAAAAACTCAACGCACGACAGACGACGGGCAATGGACGACGCACAATGGACGACGCACGACGGGCGACAAACGACTCACAACCGACGACGGAAAATGGTATATATGGAACTGGAAAATGGCAGAAGTGAGACATAACAAAAAGCGAGTGGTGACGGACGACGGGCGAAAGCAGATATGGAATTCCATAAAAAAACAGATTACCAAGAAAACTTACCTTTTTGGTAACATGCGGGACCAGTAACTTCGTATGTACGCTATACGGAATTTGGGCAAGGCCAAGGACATTCTTCAGTCTCAGAGCCTTTAAAAATGGAGGTTTTTAACCACCTGATATATTTAGTGGCTTTTAAAAAATTCTACTGTTCAAAGGCCCGAAAGTGAAGGAAACATTTCGCACAAAAAAATTGAACTTATTTTATAAAGAGGCATTGGACGAACACATATTTCAGTTTGTCGTGGTGCTTTACAAGAATTTGCAATAATTCGTTATTTCTTTAAATTAACAAAGAAGACTGTATGCCATATGCTAATTATGTTTTCGTTTGAGTGTTCAAGATTTTAAGTTGTAATGTTCCTTAAGTCACCAGAAAACAGTGGATTTACTCTTAAACATTAACTGCGATTCAACAATGTAAATGTTTTTCTAGAGGTCGTTGGATGACATTTTAAGGAAGTTAAACTTTCCCTTCTGTGACGATAAAGCAATTAAGGATATTCAGTGATTATGTGTCTCATTTCACAAGAACACAAACTTAGAGCCATATATTCAAGTCTGAAGCCTTTCATTAAAATACGTCAATGGTATGAGCGACACATAGGCTATATGTGTCTCCAACTGTTGTATATACCCGTTTGTATAGGTTATGCATATCATGTTAACATAAATGTCCTTTCTTTGCTTTGTAGCTGATCGCGATGTCCCGTCTGCAGACCCTGCGACACTTCAAAGAATCTTACATGAAATCAATGATATGAAGAAGCGTCTACCTTGCGCTGGTTGTGACAGACAAAACAATCATTCCAGCTGTTTTATTAGTCAGGATGATATCACCTACTACACGGGCTTCTCAGCGAATGAATTTGATATTACTGTTCAGAAACTAGAAGGACAATTTCGGTCATTTAATCACAGGAAACGAGCTCAGAATGGAATGAGCTTTTCGTTCCGAGAACTCTTTTTTATAGGATTGGTTAGGTTGAAGCACGATTTCCGTTTTGAACATATGGCGCATCTGTTTAAAATAGATGCGCGCCACTGTTCTATTGCCTTTTTTAGATGGCTTGATTTTATTTTCACACTTTCAACAAATCTGGATTGGTCAAATAGACATCCGGTTTATAAACCTTGGCTAGACAAGTTTATAAAGGAACTGAAAGACGTTCATGTATTAGATGAAATAGAACTAACTCAGGATACAGGTTTAAGGGCGTTATTATGCGTGGATTGGCTGAGCGGATCTGTTCTTTTTGCATCAGATGTTTATAACGATTCCTTACGGGCTAAAAATGTTAAAAACAAAATTAAAAACCAAAATGCTTTGTTGGCTGTGTTAAAGAAAAACCTAGAGCGTGGAATACTGAAAAGGGGTAATGAATTCATTGTGAAAAAATCTTTGAATGTTCGAGAAGATTTAACTCAGCTTGGTTTTGAAGTAAGAGAAAACGTATCTCATAGGAAAAGGGCAATGGAAGGTATTCGCGAATTTAAAATCTTAACTAACACAGATGGTTGGTCTGACTGGCATTTTAAAAAGATTTGGCACGCTTGCTTCTTTTGTTTAGATTTAAAAACAAGATTGAATAACATTCTATGAAAAGGAGTGGTGAACTTTAACCGAAAGAAAAAGTTACATTTGGAGGTTGAGTTGAAGTAACGGTTTGGTTTCACTGTTGGAATTAAAACATTTTGACATTAAGTTAATGTCATGTGAAGTTGACTGACTGGTTGTTAAAATTATTATAAAGAGGAACAAAAACATTGACTGGAACAAAAGTTGAATTTGCGACATCAGAAGCGCCGGTACTGGGCAGTCCAGTACCGGCGCTCTACCAACTGAGCTGTCGAACCCAATTTGGGTTATTTTCCAATTTGTCACCTTTTGTTTCGGCGGGCGCTGTCAGAAGCAATACAAACTGAAACACGCCGCCGCCCGACAAAGACATTGACAAAAGGGAAGAATTGGTAATATATGGCTAAGCGGCACAGGCTACGAGAGCACCGGTGCAGTGCCCAGGAGGTTTAAGGTTCGAATCTCTTATCAGTCAATTTCTTCGTTTATGTTTCTAAAATTAAAGCAGATGTTCATGTTTGAGTTGTGTTGAAATAAATGCAGTAGGCTGCTGTTCCAAAGACGCAACACTTCATTTACGACTGTTTTTGTGCAAGGTGAGACCTCACTGGCTCCATATAAAAGTACCCAGGTATCTGCACAGTGTCAAAGTGAATGTTAATCATCGATGAACGTTTCGACTGCTTGAATTTTCTATTGATAGGTTAACTTTCCAAATATAGGTAATATGTGATCACATGAGGAAGGTGCAGGCAGTGACATGTTGGCAAGCTCACTACGGAAAATGTTTTTTGTCGTGTAGTAACTGAACGTTAGGTAGCCAAGTTTTTCATGGTAATATTTTTTCTAGCTGAAAGAAAGGTTTAAAAGCCACTGCGGTTTCTTAATTCAACTAATGTTTTTTTATGGAGATATGAGTTTGAGTAAGTTGAACAATGTTTAAGTAATTGATGTGCTAGTATATTTTTTTAAGATTTTCATATTGAAATCGTCGACAATAATGGCTGTCATGCACTGCCGTCTATACCTTCTGGACAAGGAAGAGTAGGCTAGCTGGCTTTGTAGCTTAAACCTACATCTCCGTCGTTTCTCACCACCATTTTACAAAGTAATGTACAATCATAAAGGTGAAATATTTTACGAAATGAATATCTGCAATTGCCATCTCAATCAGGTGGCATTCAACACGGCGGGAGGACAAGGGAGTTTGAGTAGTGCGTCGAGCGTCGTTTAAGAGCCAGTAGTTACACATGCGTTGTAATTCGGTACACGGTTATATGCATTGACAACCATTGCAAAGTCATGAAATCTAAAGAAAATGAGGCCGTGTCAGCGTTTGATCACGCTAAAAAAATTCAGTCCCTGAAACTAATACCTTATCAGTTCTAGCAGTTAGAAAAGCTCATACCGCATCGATAATCTAAAACGTTCAATTTGCGCCAAGTGCAGGTACACATCAATTTAAAGTAAGACTCATTTTCTGAATGTGGATGTACGAAACCTTTACATCACGGTACGACAACTGAACTAGTTTCAGCTCGGCTTGGTCCGGGTTTGCCCAAGGTGTCCCGTGGACCGTGCTGGCTTGATACGGTCGATGGATGGATCCGCTCGGTCGGTTGTACCGTACTGCCTCTCGTGCTGTACACGGCAGCCACCTTTCAGACACAAACAATTCTTGTTATCCTTTCACAACATTTATACGCTTCCCTCTCTGACTAACTAGGTCGACAAAGAGTGCAACGTTGTGAAGTCACCTCAGATAAATGGCAGACCAGGTTCTTAAATGTTACACATAGAAAAGATTGAAAAGTTTGTGTTCTAAAGGTGGCGTTCTCTTGCGCAAATGAAGTGGCCTTTAATTTAATACTTATTTACAGTCGGGACTATCTGCTCTTCGGAATTAGCTGTAAACCATCCTACGCCAATTACTGGATGGGTCTCATTAGAATGCCTGCGGAGTGTGTTGCCCAGATATTCAATATAGATTGCTATACCCACAAAGTGGCAAAGGCACCTTCACTGTGCAGACTCTCCATTTGTCATATTGCCATACACAACTGGCATTTCAAAATTCCTTTAAATAGATTTTGAACATTACTTCCAAACATTAAACTCCTGCACCATCCGTGAATCATGCAAAACCAGCCAGTTAAAAAAAAGAGAGGACATTTGTGAGTACTCTAACCTTTGGAAAGAACAGCATACATAGCGTTGCTGTGGTACAAAACATAACGAATCCAGCCAGGAGTGCGTAGGTGACAGACACAGCGTCAGTGACGAGCACAGAGACGGGTACCACCACCACGCAGCACAGGCAGACGTTGTAGATGGACAGGCCAACGTAGTTACTGTCGTTCAGGCCTGAAACGTTGACATTTCTGTTTGACAGTGGAGAAAATTACGATAGGAATGATGTCGCATGAAATCTGAGTCCCTGTCTATGTTGTCGCTCTTCTGAGCATCTTATCAGCAATGACGCATGTGAAATGTATTCAAAGAATGTTTATGCAATTTTTAAAAATGCTTTATACGCATTTACGTAACGAGGTTTACATTGAGATATTGGCTAATTCTTTGGGCAAGAACGCTACCTATTGACTATAAGTTACTCTAAATATTCTAAAGCTGTGACAAGACACAACACTGCTATGGCTGAATTTGTTTCCAATGCTTGCATCCAGCATATAAAAGTAACTTACACAAATCATTTCATATTCTCAATATTTCCCCCCTTATCAATATGAATTTAAGTATTACATGGTAACAACAGCAGCCGATCCACAACCTGGATCTACACAACTTCACAGTTACTTCTTCTTCTGTAACGGCAATAAGTTCATTTAAGCCAGGAAAAAACAACCCAATTTCATGGCAAATTTGTGGCAATAGTAGGCCTAATTGTATTCAAGAATAAGGCCTAGCAGAGAGCATTGGCTTTATATACATAGGCAGTCATCCCTTCTCTAAGATTACTAAAGTTATGAGAGTCGCGACAACATTCTTTACTGGTGAATTGAGCACAGAGTCGTGGACTTCAACATGTACTATCTCGTTGAAAATTACTATATGGTGAGCAGAGCTAAGAAATGTAACCAAGAATTCTTTTTTTGTGTGTGTGTTTTTTTTTCAGTTTGATCGACTGTAGAGTACCGAAGTGTGACGTCATTTTTGAGCCCGGAATCCAGTGCAAACAAATGGACTACTAATGTCTTCTACAAACATAATTGTGCGTACGACATTTTCACCTCAGTATCCTATAGATGTTTACCTTGTCTGCCAGGCCAGAAAAGCACCAAACACCATGACGAATGCCTTGTAGATCAGTAGCGCCATCAGCCATATGATATTATGTGTCGATGTGCACTGCACCAAAACTTCCTCGCGTCGTATAAAGTTCAGCTCATCTTCAGGAGTCTGGTTATGTTAAAATATGGATGCTCTATAGACCCGTATAAAATTATATTACATCTAGGCGCAAAAGCCAAAGCAAATGCGAATTTGTGACGTTAGATCAAATTTCGAGTTATGAATTCGCAGACTTTGAATACAATTCAACACAGGGAATTTCGCTGAAAATATTTCATGACGTAAAAATCGTATTGCTCTTGCGTTCGCCAGAAGACCGAATCGGCCTTTCAAGCGATTTTGCAGCTTAAAGACCTTTTTCGCGTGGAGATTTGTCAAAGATGAATTCAATTTCGACTGATCAAAGCTCGTCCTTACAGAAAATGTGACTTTGAAACTGTGATCGCTTTTGCAACATGTACAAAACGGCCCGAGAATGTGGAAGCCGCGCGCATTTTGATTTTCCTTTTTATATACAGAATACATCAGTTCTATTTTTCGCATACTTTTGTAGTGAAAAATCTAATCCGGAGACCTGCCTTCTTTTTAAAGGTTGCAGGCATGCCGTAACGTATAGGAGTTATAAACACAGTATTTCTGTGTTGTTCATTGCCATGCTATTGTTTTGAGAATTCCTTTTCTTTAATGAAATGATTTCCGTGTAAGGTAAAAGTCTGCATTTAAAACCACAGGTAGAATAGCAAAACTTCACAATTAACGAAAATAGGTTTATTATGGTCAGCATGATTATTTCTCATATTACGTGTTTGTTACCATTCTTTTCCAGAGCCCGCCTCCAGCCACGTCCCATGGGGATTGTATGTAAATATCTAAACCACGTGCTGATAGGGGATTATTGACAAAGAAAGTGCCTGGGCAAGCCTTGGAAAGCCCGGGCCTGTCTTTTATCAATGGCCAGTCTCTCTTATGTGTCTCTGAGCTGTAGACAGCTGTCTGAGTAGTTTCATTGTGTTGGGGGTGTCACATTTTTGTGGTTATAACGGAAGTGATCTCAAAACGATCACCTTGGTGCAATGGGTGTAAAAAGTAGGCTCTGTGCAGTGAATTCAGCTGATACTCATATGACAGCGTCCGAGCATTAACATGAACAAATCGGCCCTGTTGCAGCGGAGGGTTAAGAATGATCATTTACCAAAAAAGGTGTTCATTCATGGATTTCGTTTTCGACTTAAAGAATCCACCTACGGCCTCCGAGTATCCCTGCAGGCGACCTACCTGAGGAATCTTCCTCGTAACGACGACGATCGTCTGCGGGTCTACTATCTCCCTGGGGATCAGTATGGCCAGATCTATCATCAGCAGGACACCAACAATAGCAATGAGATGGTGGTCCTTAATGACCTGTGGAGGAGAGGCCGTAATCGGATTATTGCATGTGATGATATTTTGTGGTATGACACTGGTGGCATTTTACCCAAGGACGATTGAATCGATATAAAGCAGTATAGTCAAACCATTCCGCGAACTGTGCGTTTCGATTACTTCCCCAGCGCTAGCTCGTGCAAGTCCGACTGTGTTCGATTTGGCTCTCACATGACTTGTCGCACTTATACGACGCGGACGGCAACAGCCACGTGCCAGGGGAGGGTGCGTTGGTATGCATGCATAAAGATATACAGAGAGTATATTGCCAATACAGGCGCAATTAAGTATAGCTTTATTTAACGCATCCTAGCCTCGTCTCACTTCCGGTGCAGACTACTTTCCCCTTTTTAGAAGTTGGCTGCGACTGGCTGGCACCTTGGAGTGCTTAGAATTTGCAGCACATCACAGCATATCACACAATACAATATAAGGGAGACAGCGCTGCGGGGACAGATGACACTAATCAATAGCAACCTACATTTGCAATCATGCCAAAAATAATAATAAATTAATGAAAAAAGAAAATGACGATGCATTTTCACTTACAGAGGGTCTGTAAAAAAACCCAAAAATCAAGCAAAAAAAAACACTAGTCACAATACTGATTTTTTTAAAGACAGGCTGACAACATACAGCATAGAGCCAAAGTGCTGTTACAAATAATAAGAACGGTACCTTTCTCTTCGTCTTGTTGTGGACAACGACGCTGTACACTCGCCACATCTTGGTGAACATACCACCGAAGGCAAGCGTGAAAGCAATCGACAACAGCCACTCCCGAGCCTAATATGTGGGAACGAAATATACAGAACCATAGATCGCTTGCATGGTGCGCCATCATTGAGGAAGGGCTTTGTTCCTGTGTGGATGTGCCCGAGTAGACACTCTGTACTTTTACGGCCACTGAATTTACTAAACAAAAATTGCCCATCTGCTAGTTCGCAATTTCCCGCCTGGGTGGGTTCCGATGCTCGTGAACCAACGTCAGATCACTGATTGCAATCTGGATCCTGGTGAAACAAACCGGCCCCAGTTTCATGGTTCCATGTAGCTCTATGTGTAGCTCTATGTGGGCGTGGTTTGAAGTGAAATGACGTCACACTTATGAACTCGTCACGCTGTGTATTTGTATTTTGCAAACAGTCCTGTAACATAATCACGCACGCTTTCTTACGTATGCGTTTTCCTAAGGCAGTAGGATGGGACGCGAACCATCGAGCTCCCAAAGGTATAAGTGCACATGTGCACAAAGTGTGACGTCATTTTGTTCTAGGTCTTATTTCAATCAGAGTTCAAGAAAGAGAATTGTGGCTTGCTTCCTCTCAGTTATGTTTAGATTTAGATATTATTATTTCTATTTGTTCTACTATTATTCAAACAGTTGTGTACATAAATATGCCAAGACCATAAACGTTCAACTGAGTTTGAACAATCAAGAAAAATTTAAATCCCTGTTTAAAGATTTCATTTGACATATTTTTTTATTGACTTTGAAACAAATGACGTCTTCTCAGTTTTACCTTACAAATGTTCAAAAGTTGCGGTCTGTCAACAACAGACTCGTCCACTCCCATGATGACAACGCTCGTGTAAGCAAAGACCAAGCCTGTGGCAACTATATTGTTGAGCCGGGGACTCGACATCTTGACTTGCCTAGGACGAAAAAGACTCATTTCATTTCCTCGAATTCCATGGGTATCCCGCACGAGTTTCGGCCAACAGTGAAGCAGTGAAAGACTGGGCTGAGGACTTCATGCATGTTTTAATAATTATCAACAGTCTCCCGCCTCCCCTGTCTCACGTGTACAGGGTGTCCCAGAAAAAAAAAAAAAACCTGATGAAAGGGGTTAATATGCCCCAATCATGAGATGTGATTATAATGTATAAGGATCTCCGAAAAGTAAAAGCAGTATTCTTTCTAATGATACTTTGATGGTATCCTTCCTTTCATGCATGACTGGACACCATTGTCTTGAAAATGGGGCATCCGAACTCAGTTGTAACACTTTGGATGCACTCCGGGAGCTATTGAGCAAACTCCCGTCTCATCCTGAGGTCTCCACGCAAAAGTTGGTAGCGGATGTGCATTCCGTATGGATGGAACTGCAGGTCTAACTGCGTCATATTAAACGAAGAAGGGGACAGTCCAAGTCCATTCTTCCTGCAACTGGTTCCCCTTGGCTGTTCGACAAGTTGCTGTCGAACGGCAGCAACGTTTTCAGGGGTTCGCACTGGGCGCCTCCTTCCCGAATGACCCTTATTCAAATTAAGGCTTGTCCCTTGTCCCGGTATTTGCGCACATTTTCCCAGATGGCCGACTTTGACGGTGGATCCCTATCAGGGAAGGCTTCCCTAAATGCAGCTTGGGTGGCTTGAAAGCTCTTGTTTTCAAGAAATTTCGTCACGAAAAACACTCTTTGCTCATTGGTAAGTTGCACCAGGTTGCAGACTTGCTGTCCTGCTTCGAACACTTTTCAACACTGCGCTGGCCTACCCTGGGGCAAGTCAACACATTTAAACCAGATTATTGCATAACTTGAAAGTGACAAAAGGCAATTAACATGACCCTTTGTTGTTACTTTCAACCATGACAGAGGACAACCTCATTCACTGGTTTATCCAAAGTGTCACAACTGAGTTCGGATGCCCCATTTGCAATACAACGGTGTTCAGTCATGCATGATAGGAGGTATACCGTCAAGGCATCATTAGAAAGAGTACTGCTTTTATTTTTCACAGATCCTTGTACGTTATAATCATATCTCATGGTTTGGGCATATTAACCCCTTTCCTCAGGGTTTGTTTTTTTCTGGGACACCCTGTACAGTGAACAAATCGGGGTATATTTATGGCAGCCGTCTTCCCGGTCAGTGTTTTTGTTCCATGGGGATACAAATGAGTAGACCGTCTGTGCATATCCCCCCACAACGAAAGCACTGACCGGCAAGATGGCTGCTGGTACATAAACCTATACAAGACACTTAAGTGATTCTTGAGTGCGTTACACAATCAAACTGGACCAAAGAAGGGTGCATTTTCCTTGCAACCTGTATGATACACTAATGACTAAGAAATGTCCACATCACCACCGCATAACTGCCAATTAAAATGAACACCCCCACTTTTTGTCCTTTCAAGCAGCTATAATATCTGTGCTTCCGCGCTGCCATTTGCGGTATTCAGGTTTGGTTATTGCCAAAACACACAATTGCCAAACAAAGCACCATCTCCGCGCACAAAGCATGTAAGGTTGGTGCAGCGGTTTTGCTCCAACAACACAGGAAAAACGTAATTGTTCTACGATTTTTTATTCAACGGCTTTAACGCTCGCCCATTCTGTGCGTTCATTTTTTCGTAATACCTGGAATGTTAGGAATTCAATTTAAAATAAACGATGATTATGTAAGTGTGCACCTTGGCAGGGACAATAGGGTACCAGCACTTCTCTTGATTCGTGGAATTTAATGAATTCTAGGAGAGTATTAGGTAACAATACATCAGTGTCCACTACGCAGGGACAATAATTTGGTTTTTTTTTGGGGGGGGGCCTTCGAATGTCAGGAATTTCCCAATCTAGATAGTAAGAATATATTAATGGGCCACTGTACTATTTCCCTGAGTTTTCAAAACACCTGGAGACTATTTAGTAAGTTCTTCAGTGTACATATGCAGCAAGGTATGAGACGGAGAGAACCCCCTCTGCTTTGTGTTGGTCATTGTCTCGCAGGAATCTGGGGAATTCCTTTCAGACATCTTGGGGGATGTGTCAAGTAACAATAGGCTGGAATGTGTACAGGGATTGGACATGTTGGGGGTACCCCTCGGTCTCATTTCTTACTGGGTATAAATACAAAAGATAGGCACCTAGTTCAACCGAGCTTTGCGTATCAATGGAACATGTAGACGCTTGAAATATCAGATCATACGTAAAGACTGTTAGTTACATTAGTTCATTTCTTTGATTAGCCCTCAACTTGAATTAAGCCAATCACCTATTTAGGGGTTGCGGTTTTTTTTCAGATCTACCTGTGTTTCCTCAAGATGAAATTGAAAGTGACGAAGCAAATGGCCAATGCACAGCCTACTCCAGCTATCACGCATGACGTAATAAAGACGACCGGATCAATCACATGAGGAAAAGATATGGTCTTGGTGTTGTCGGAATCGAATGGGGGGTTACCACCTGAATTAGACGAAGAGATTTTTTTCCAAAAGGAGACGCATCTTGTAAATTGTTTCGTTGAAGCAAAGTTTTTAATGAACTGTGATAAAATATACAGTATATTGAGCTAATACAAATAAATTCGACTTTTTTAGTCGAACTTACGCCTTTTCAACATGACGTATCCTGCGGGGGGCAAGTTGCCGACGGATTTTTTTCTCACAATTTTTCCCTTTTGTAGTACGACATGTGAGTAGGACAGAAAGTAATCGGTCTATCTTTTCATCAAAATTAGCACCCTAAACCTAAGAAACAACGTCATGAAATAAGAGCAAGGATGTCGGGACCTTAGATTAGGCTTTTGACATTATTTTCTCTCTCAACACAGTGTTAAGCCCGATGCCGTAAATACTTTTGAATTTGCTCCCCCGATATCAAAATCTGGATACGCCACTACATTTTAGTTTCAATGTTTAAAAGCAAAACTTTCAATGTTGAGCCGTCACTCAACCAAAGGAAAACGAATCAAAGACTAGGTCTAAAACTCTCAGCATCTAAGCTGTGGAAAAAGTGTATCTGCAAATAACCGAAAATAAATGATGTTGAAAAAGGAAATGAGGGTAAGCTGGATTGACGTCTGTGTTACAAGGAACTCAGCTCAAATTATTCGCTGATTGGTTTCCTGCTAGAAATAACATACCAACGTATCGTTGTTTACACGGCGAATATTACATGGCATACTACAATGAAACGATTTCTAAGACGTCATTCTGTAGGAGTCAGCATCTTTTGTCTCCTTTGTGTTTGAAAATGGTTAGGGCACAGGAACCTACCATTTTGATACCATATTTTTGCCGCTGAAATGATCCAGGAGATCTTTTCATCTTTTTCGTAGGTTCCTATGACAACCTCCTGACCTCCTGAAGGTAGGAAAACAGTAAATTAAGCCCTGACAGGAGTAATCCGGATTTATCTGCGTTTGTCAATAACTTTATTTTTTTATTTTGAATTTCCGAATCTCTGACACCAGAGATGTATGCATTTTATGCATAAAATGGCCAGTTTTGATTCCTATGGAAATCGATACCATCTGATAACGTGCACTAACTTTATGCCGTGAAATAACAAACTCGGTCGTTGTAAAAGGTGTATCACAGACCAAATCTAGGACAGTTTTAAGGACGGGAATTTTCATCACTTTTTAACGTTACCTTTATGGTTTCTTGGGCTGCAAGCTAAACTTTGCAGCGTTTAGCACACTAAATCAAATATTATCAAAAGCTGCTTTTCTCTGGTATTTCCAAAGAGTGAAGCTAACAACTTGACGATATAGGGATATAATCACTCTAAATGCTACATGAATTGAACAGAACCGATTTCAGTGGAAACCCGAGTGAAATTCAATGATATTCACTTGACCATTTACTGAATAAAAGAATCTTTAGAGTCAGTCTTGTCGCTACATGCCTTTGTATTAAAAACGCGAGTGGAATTTAGGCCTACTTGAATAGGGTAAAATGTCTTTGAAGGTTAGAGAGTACGTGTTTAAAACGTCTTTTTGGAAGGGGGGGCGCCATTACTCCGTGATCCGACAGAATTGTCGTAGCAACAGGGTGTTACAGATATGGATGCGCACTTTCACTGTGCAAATACCAACCTGTCCACTCGGATCTCGTCTCTTTTAAGGTTGTCTTTACTCAAGCAAAATAATGCACATACTTCATTCTATGAGTCAATGCTGACACAGGAATGAGGTGTCAAGAATCCAGAGGAAGGCACATATGCTACTGCATCGTCTCCTTTAAGCGCCATGCATGCATGAAACAGGTTTATGCATAATTAATTACTCGTTTTCGCCATATGTAGTCCTTACCTCTGTTCTGTTCGATCAAGAAAAGCCCTATCCTGTCACCCCGTGCAGAGAAACTAACCGGTCCCTGGAAAAGAGGAGGATTTTTTAATTTCTACAAGGATAGGAAAAGCAAGCAGTAGAAATCCTCTTAAATAACCCTCAAGATCCTTCTTTTTCATATTTTTTAGTCGTTTCCTGTGATTATTTTTGGCGTTTATGTAAAATCCTCTTCATTCAATTAGAGAGGATTTAATGGATTGTCTGGGTAGACGGTATCTGATATCGTGTACTCTTCACTTCCACGCTGAAGTGCAGTAATACATTCATAACAATCTACCGGGACATGTACGGCAGCAGCTGCTCTTGGGTTTCTTATCGATTTTTTTATGTGCGGGGGTACTGCACTTCAGATGCTTTCAGTAGTTCCTTGCCATGTTAAATGAACAAGGAGTACCAACTGCAAGGGGTGTATAATCACCCCAACTAAACCGATTAAGAAAACTTTGGCTGCAAAAGTGTACATGTTGTAGTACGTTAGATCTTAGTATAAATTGGGTGAAACGGCCAGACAGATAATGCAAGTGAGTACCGAGTTCTTTGAGTTAGAATTTGGAATCTACTGGTACACCTGCCTAATGTTTAGTTACTTAAGCAAAGTTTAAACAGTAAAGGATTTCTAAAGAAAAGATACTTTGATTTAAACACAGAATGCTGTTGATCCTTACAACTGTCAAGCATTCACTGAAAGCTTTTTTAACGACTGTCTGCAAAACCAATTCATTTTGAAAATATTAAATGAAAACACTCCCCTCTACCACTCAAACAATGTGACAACTGTAAACGCCATGTAGTTATTATTTTTCAGTATGAGCGTCATGATTCATAATCGCACGCCACCTAAAACAATTCTCACCGAAACTCCGTAGAACCGCACCCTCCTGATATGCTTCTCAAGGATGGACGCCATTCTGCGGTCTTTGTAGACGTACGACTCCAGCCGGCGTGGGTGCAACTCATTCAGAGAGCTGTTCAGTCCCAGTGCCAGGGCCCACATTCCGTCGTGGGCGTTGGCAGCTGGGTCTTGACCGTCGAGACCAATGGTCAGCCCCGTGGTGTCCCGGATGTGGTTGCGGAATTCTTGAGGTGTCTTAATCAAACGGAAACAATTGTTGTGAACATACAGAATAATTTAATTTAATACCAACAGTCTAATTATTGAATATTGGTAAGGATTTATCACATAACTGTTACACAGAACGTTTAAAAATATATCAAAGACAGATTTACCTGTCCAGAAACAGTCATTTTATCCACCCTCCCGTTCATGCTCCAAGTTACAGTCATATATCCCTCTGCCGCTTCTTGTATCATACTGCTGTTGCATCTGACACTTTCATCTGCGGTGGCCCTGTTATACCATTCAGGCGTGTAATAGCCGATGACAAACCACTGGTACTTTGCACCGTAGAGCCCTAATTTATAAGCCTTTGAAATATTAAAATGACAATGAAAAGATTAACATTCGTATGTTGGCAGCCGCAAGCTATACTAGTCAAGTCGAAAATTTGGCCAAATACACTGTATACTATCTTCAATTACCGAGATCCATTCAAAGGTATAGCCTTGCTGTTTAGAGCAAGAGTTTTTGTTGTATATTTCTTTTGTTTCGTTTCTTCGTTTTTGAAGCCACGTGCTTCGGAATGTGTAGATAAAACCTTCAGAATCATTTTCGAGGTGTCAGCTGGATAGTCATGTTCCAGTCGAAGAACAGCAACAGACTACATACAGCAATGCGGCACTCAGTGATTATGAATAAAACGCGCTAACACTCACACAATCGTTGCTATGGGTTTCTATGTACAACCTAAAATCAGACAATGTGTCTGCGAATGAAGCAAGCGAAGACACAATTAACCTTTTTCTAAAGGTTCATTTTAAAGGGAAAGAATTCTTTCCCTTTAAGGAAGAGAAACATCACAGCAAAGAGCAAGGCCGTTTTTCAATATACTCCCATAAAAAACACAGCTATAACAAGTGCTTAAATTGCAGGTTCGAAGAGACGAAATGAAATTAACGTGTTAGGGTATTTACGAGTTTACATTTAAAAGGCATGTCCATTTCACAGCAACGCAACAATGTCTGTGTAAATAGAATGTTGCAGGAAAGAGGGCATGTTCATCAAAATAAGTCTCGTGACATACCCAACTATATTCATGAAGATTTCGTTTTGCTGAGAGCAACTGACGCCAGATTTCAAATATGACAGTGAAATAGTGAAATGGGTTCTATTAGTATTAGTCGTCACACCGTACAGCCTATTGACAAAGACTTGTTCAATAATAAAATAAGGACCGAAAGACCTTGCAACTGTAAGGAGCTTAATTCCCCATGTGAGTTGTTTACCCACCGTGCAGAATACTTTCCTGGCTGTCGATTCGTAAAAGTTCCCAACGATGATACGAGCATCTTTAGTCTGTGGTTAAAAAACAATCACTCTTTGATGTCAATTTTAGACTGAGTGTACTGTCCGTATAAAGTGTACGTGTTGCAGGAAATTTACACAGATTAATTCTGCTCGTTGTAAGGCTTGTATTTCGTCTGCGGAACAATACAGAAAAACATAACACGTATTCATTTTATAAAGGTAATAATAACAAGGCACCGCAATCTTCCAGGAAATGCTTACCTCAGCTTCAAAGCCAGCTGCAGAACCAAAACGAAAAACAAGTCCCCAGATATACCCCCAAATTGACATAATAACAACAACAGGTTTTCAATGTACTTTTAATTAACTAAGATCAAAGCGCTTTCCTGCATTAAATTGCCCATCTCACTGGCCCATGAAACATTCCAAGTACCATCTAAGCCTTCTGGGAAATACGTCACCGTGCAGCTATATCAGCCCAAAGCAGCTAAATCTACCGCGATGACCATCACTGCCCTCACAGAGTACCTAATTACTCCCGGGTGGAGACAGGTGATGAGTGACAAAGTGCCTTGCACAACGGCACACACATCCTGATCCCATAAACCCGGAATCTGCGGCTTTACCCGCCAACTACGAATCCAATGCTCACGACCGCGAGGCTAAAGCATTTCACTTGTGAAATATTAAAATTAAAACTTCGCATTTTAAAATTCGGGATCATTTAGGTCCAGCTTTATAATGCTTTGCCCTCAAATGTAAATACATGTTCTTTCCCAAGCGGCATTTGAATTCAACGATATTTATAGTTATATAAGTGCAACAATCTTGCAGCTGATGAAAAACAAGATAGCCAGTCGAACCTTCATTTTGCGCAGTCAGAAATATTATCCTTCTACAGTTTAAGCACAGCCCGTGGCATTCAGGAATTGATCACTTTTGACCCTTGAAGGATTCAAATGATAAAGCAAATGAAATGACACTTTGGCACCGAGGGCCAAGGATGACATCAATACGAGTTTGTAACGGCGCGTACAAATTGTCTTTTAAACCGGATGAGTAGTCACTGATTAAACTTCAAACAACCGCAAAGCAGTAATTGCTTTAGGGCGAGCTTCTGATTTCCTGTCCATTTCCTTTCTGATTGACAAAGGTCAAGGCTTCCACGAGTCACCTCAAATTCCCTCAATAATACTGTTATGCCGAATCCCTGAAGAAACTACGAAACGCAATAATAGGATTGAGCACCTCACCATTTCAAAGAGTTTCTGTCAGACCTCTTTACCTAATCGAACGATGGTCGCCCTAGACTCGGCCAAGGAAGTGTATCTCCCATTAGCATATTTAAGGTACGGCGGACACCAAACTGGGGCACTCTTTCATTTGGGTGAAATCTTTTGCGTTTACTCAAAATGTATCCACCGTATCATGCTGTGCACTAGCCGAGGCGCTTTAGACGCCTCTCCGGATCGTACCTTTATTCTTCGCAGTGCCTCGGTTGGATCTTCGCTGAAGCTCTCCGCTGCTATAATGGAAAAGTTGGCATTGGCCTCAAGCAGCCGCTGCAATTCACGTGAAACCTTGATGAGGACCAAGGGTAGATAATCAGAGATTACCATGATCAGTTATTGATTTCAATCGGTTGCGCCAATAAAAAAGTAACCGATCCATGAATGTTAGTGATAAGAGAATGACTTGACAGTTTTTAAAGGCTGGATTACAGTCTAATATAATACTTTTACTTGTAATGTCAAGAACATAAGTGGAACACCTCTTTCTCCTTTTTTGTTTACAGCTTTAGTACATGTATGATATTGAAGCAAACGAGTAGGAAACTACTAAAAACGTACACTTTTAAATTATTACCCGAGTTACGGGCAATGATCGATGTGTCGCCATAGAATGAATGTTGATTGGACAAATCTCAGTTATAAAAACAAACCATGTTGAACAAAAAGAATACTGGAGAGTTCCAAGCTTCAATGTTGCTGAGAAACGATGGGAGAGTTTGGAGAATTTTCACCGATCACCAACTTGTGCTGGCAGATCTTATAGTATAGTGGAGTCTATAGTTTGGGGTCAAGTTCGTATTAGGTTGGTAACGGTTTTTAATTATCTTTCTATTCCTAAGGGTCACAAAATGTAATTTTGAACCTCAGAAATATCACAAAGATTACATGGCCAAGTTGTCCATTTCTGGCCCCAAAAGAATGTTGGCCCATTAACAATAATTATTTTGGTACTTCTTTAGTTAAAACAGTTCTGTCAACCACTTTAAAAGCAAAGGAGGGACTTCTCTGCAGCTTTTGCGTGAAGTATACTTTTCCCCGCATCAACACCACCACCCTAGACGGTTGCTGTAATGACAACTTTTGGAACAGAGCCACGCTTGAGTTTACTCTTCTGTGGTAGTGCTGGATCAGTCACAAAAAGGAATCCAAAGGAAATTAATTTTCCTTCCCCCTTACCCCATTGTGCGGTTCTTTGGTCTCGTGTAGTGTGGCGACCTTGCCCCAGCCGAACTGCCGGAAGATCTCAAGCTGAACTGGCGGGATCTCGGAGGCCGAAGCGATGGTCCTGAAGAAGTACGGATAAGTCGACCGAACGGACAACTCAATGGCCGAGGACGCAAAGGCCATCTTTAAAAAAGACACACGGTTTGATGCAGAAACATGAATAAAACTCAAAAACCTCTTGGCTGATAACGCAACTTGCAGTGTGGTTTCTAGGCAAACTATGACATCTTCTCTGTCACACTATGACTACACAGTTTTATATACATCGCCTTGCAAACCAAAAGGACTGAAAGATAATTCGTACTTCCTGATAGTTTTCGGTCTTATTCCTGGAATGCGTTTTATATATTGGAAACAGACCACTGGGATGGCACTATAGACTATAGTTATGTTTTATAACCGCTGTACCTTCCAAGTTTCCTATTCAATGAACTATTTCCTATTCAGAACATTGAGGTACATTTTCACATGTTTAATTGCAGATTTTAAATGATTTTTCAGAGTTGGCAGCTACTTATTTGTCACAAAATTTCATCATATTGCTTTCAATTTACCTCTCAACATTAAAGAATGAAGTAACCTCGCCTTCCAATGAAATGCGGCCGACTCATGAATAAAATCTATGCAGCGAGCCAGCAAACAGACATGAACCTTATCAAATAAGATGCGGGAAGGCAACCATGCAGGGCAGGAGGCCAACCAGCAAATTCGAAGGCAGCAAATCAAGTAAAAGCCCGCAGAGGATTCGGTGGAACGTTTTCAACATCCTTGATTCCGGTATGTAATCGAGCACAACCACTGTCAGGGCAAAATGTGCCCTTTTCCCCGCAGCCTAATCAAACCTCGATGCACACGCAGTAATTTTCTAACAAAGCATTTCCGTGGGACTCGTTCCTTCGTTTTTGCTTTGCCTCGAATGGGTTTTCACACCTGTGAAGGACATACAATCAGGCGACTGAGCATATTCAATCGGGTGTGATTTAGATTTTGTAAGAATGTCTCGTGGCCACTAAAGATGAAAGCCTTTTAAACGCACCATAGAATTGATACGGGGTGCATCATAAACGACCGTTGGGAAGTGAAGACCTACATAATCTTTCCTCGACAAATGAACTGATGTCAGTTGGAAAAAATGCTGAAATATTCCAGACGTTGAAATTTGAGAATAGAGATGTGTCGTCACGGTGGTCGGGGGCGATCCTCCACGACAGACAATTGTCTCGCGCCTGTTTCTGGCTGTTTCATTAATCGCCTTTGATTAAGCTTTTCTGTGTACTGATGGTTTGTAAGTGTGACGTCACTTCAGTTTAAACCATGCCCACTGCACATGCACTACACATAGATTTACCTGCATTGATCGCCGTTTACATTGACGTGGAACCATGGAACCATGGAACCGGAAGTTTACGCGAAACTTCAGCGATCATGATATGAGAGCCTGCAAATTGTGGCGCGTCTGTCTTTGTGACGAGATCATCAGTAAAACTGTGACTTCATACTCGGTAATATGTACACACAACAGCTATGTTGACAAAGTGACGAAACAGTTAAAGATATGAAAGTATAAACAACAAGATATTTTCCCCCATGGAATTTAAGCCTTTTGAGATTATTTATATTTTATATTATTTTGACCAAAGGAATTATCATTTTTTACTAAACTAATGCTTGTTTACTCCAAATGGACATAATTATTTCCAAGGGACAGTTTATTTTAAGGCATGATAGGATAGACAGGGAAATAGTCAAACTGAGTTCACAAACGAATACGCTCATCGTATTGCATAAGTAATTGTTTCAGTCAGTGAATAAAAGCCAAGGGTGAGTGATGTTTTCAGACCTAGCAGTTTTCACTGTAATTAATGATTTTAAAGTAATTACCTTTATTTGTGAGTTGACGTTCGGTGGACTTTTTCTTTAAAATGTAAGCCGTGCCCTTGATATGTTGAAATTTGGCATTACAAAACAAAACAGATATTTAAAAAAATAACACAAACACTGCACACATAGAAAGAAAAATATTGTAATGCTCGCCAGTCACTGCGGTTTTTGGCAGCGCCTTCTTTTGCTTTTCAAGGACTAGCATTTTGCATGTAGAGTAAGTAATCATTTTTGCAACAAATCTTAGACGTTCACCAATTTAAGGGCTGTCTGGGTTGATGCCAGGTGTTCGAATTAATGAGCAGTCCTCTCTGAATGTTCCCTCAATAATGACCGCCAAAGCTTAATCCCTCTTAAGCAAATTTAGAGTTATGTCTTGACTATGCATAATCATGTTAGGGAAACCCACAAAAGGACTCTTAGAGGCGTTTTCTAGTAATTCTATTTTGGCTTGCATAGGAAAGAGCAAAGAAAGCTTTTCCTTCCCACGTAATCTTCAATTTGGCATCTTTGCGTAAATGAAAAGGTTAAAAATGTTGCAGGTTTGTTCTGATTGAAATTTTGCAAACTTCCCCCTTCCCAAAAGCGGCTACTGTGAATTGCAGCACCTTCCGTTAGCTTGGGTTAGTTTGAATGCTTATCTTGTATCTGCGATTTTACAAATGTCAGATGCCTACCATTCTGCGACATGCCACATTTGACATGACTGTTCTGTGTGCAAGAACGTTGTTATTTGAATTACTGCCGTCTGAAAAGACCTGATGTGGAAATCGAATAACCGAAGCGACTTCATAAATACTGCTGTGCACACCCTGAGGCAAGAAGCTAACAAGATATAGTATTTGTGCTGCATTGTTTGTCAGCGTAGGGATCTTTTTTAAAGTTTTGAAATAGTTGCGTTACTTGGGATCGATTTTCCAATAAGCACTTAGCATTCTTGGTTTAACTCGTTGGGGAAGGAGTCTGCAGATCGCTCTTTCGCACTCATGCTGCTAAAGATTGATCAGCGGAACTAACAACCACTAATACGTCTTGGAAACCCTAAAGCCATCTAACTTCTGCACTTTTGAAGCCAACAGTGGCCGTGCCCCAGGGGCAGAAGTTGAGGAATTCCTTTTCACAACGACACGCTTACGTCGTGCATGAGGGTAAGTTAAACTTCAATCAACTGTTATTGATCTTCTGCCAAATTAAATGCATTGCTGTTGGTTTGACGCCGGATTTACCTTAGAACTCAAGGGGCAATATCTGCGCGCGTATATTTTTTGTATGTGTGCAGCTTGCCAAACCTTTATCTGTTGATGACGCCTCGCGTAGTTGTTTACGCCAAATCTTCCGATTTTGAATTTAAGTGCTGTTGCAGGCTGTGATCAAAGTTTTCAGAGCAAAACGTGCGAATTAAAAAAAAAATGGTCTCCTTGCCAACAGAGGAACTACAAAAGATTTCTTGATACTATTTGTTTTCGTCACAAATCTTTCAGATTTACTGGAAAAAATACTCAACAATTCTGTGCTAATTATTTCCCGGATCCCTTCTTAACACGGGAAGTGCTGAAGGGGAGTACTTTTTTGAAGTTACAATTATTATTTTGTCTACGACAGTGGTTCACAACTCCACTGCACTGACGCCCTGCTAGTCGGAACACCTGTACAGCCCTTACTTGGGTTAACGCCCACAAGCTGGTGACCCCTGTCACGTCCCGAGTTACTGTCGACAAGAGCTCTCCCAGCACGGCTATCTTGACCGGTTCACGGTGGTACAGGTCGAACAAGGCAGTCATGGCCACAGCACTGGACGCCTGAACCAAAGCAAATGACAAAAGCATGTAGCTTGAAATCTGAAAATGGCAACGACATTATTGTTGCCCATAACGACTAGTTTATTACAACCTCAAAACTGTAATATGCCTGTGAGAGAAGCGTTTTACCATTAGGACTGGCAAATGTTTTAGAAACGTTGTTCATGGTTGTTTACATGTTGTACGGTAACAAAGAATATTGAAACATAAAAAGGTCCACGATGATTTTGAAAACCCTGTTCATTGCCAAAGTCCTGGTTTGCTTTCTGTTTATAATTTACTGTCTAGTGACGGTTCCATTTATGTTTTCATCGTCTGCATTAGCTAATCAACGTCTTTGTGAATTATGTTTATTTAAATTAGTATGTTGCTTTTAAATGTTTACTTAATCTTTCCAGTCATAAACTTCAATATCAATTTGAAGCACCCTTCCAAACGGTCTCATTCTGTGACCATTCAAGTTTGACCTTTACGATTGGTTTGTTCTAATGGTGTGATTTTGGCTTGGAGTTTAGAATTTAAATTGGCTTTCATATTAAAACAAATCAATAAGATTTCTGATTTGCAATGCAGGTTGTCGAAGAGGACCCCTTTTCCCCGTTTCCTTAGGTCACTCGTTTCAATCTGTAGCAACGGGAAAGCACACATGCCTTTGAACTTGTCGATTGGCAGAATGATTTCACCATGGAGACAATCATCTTCTGTATGTCATTGCATTAAAGCCTCCTTCACAAATGCGAGAAGCAATGCTCGTGCAGGATTTGGGTTTGCACTGGCGACATCATGGGGCAAACAAAGGTTTTTTTTTTTACCCGTGTGGGTGCTCTTGCAAAGTGAGGGAAGAGCATTTCATTGATATTATCAATTAGAGTCAGTAAAGAATCTGGGACATGGAAACAGCACGGACGTATATAAAAAAACCTGGATTTGTAACGCCTTTGTATAAAAAAGGAGTCAACCAGCGGCCATTTTACCGAGCCGAACACAAAAGCGTGGGTTCGCTCCCTTCTATTGACGTCAGGAAGAACAAAGGCGGGCATCGCGAGGAAAGCTTTGTCTTTTGCTCAGTGAAATGGCCGCGAGTGGATTCAATGATCTCTATAAGCTGATTAAGGGCATTGTAAGTCCAGATTTTCTTATACACGTCCGTGGAAAACAGGCACATTGTGAAGTAAGCTAAACCTAAACATAGACATAACGACGGCGTGCCGCTACAACACAGGTAAGACATGCTAACTTGCTGAGAAGCGGTAAACATGACCAGCGCGAAAAAAAATGTGTCCTTCTCAACACGGGAGCTTAAATGGCCATCTGGAGTTCCTTGACGTAATAGACATTTGTAAGATATGTATTTGTATGAAACATTTTCAAGATATTTTATTGTAGTTCTTCAGTACATGTATAACGCGAATTGTAGTTCAGTTGAGCCGCAAAATCTTTCCACTATTATTTCCTTTAAAATGAGTCTGTGGTAAGGTATAACAGATACAATCCTCACCACAGAGATAAAAAAGAAGACAATAAATAAAGAATTAAAAAAAAAAAAAAAGCTGCAGACGTAGGTACTTCTGACTCTGGACATCCCGCCCTCTTAACCTAAACCTGTTTTCAAAGAAGTTATCCAAAGTTTAAAGAGTCATTTCCTGCAGAAAGCTCTGGTAGTCTCGGGTAAGTAATACATGCGGAATAAAATTGTACCTATTGGCTTCATATTCGAGATTACAACTCTTCAGATTATCTCTTTTTCAAATCTTTGTCAGGGTATCGTCAATATCACATGGCATCCTTGTCACAATAAGGAGAAAACAAAGTATTCGAAACAGTACCGGTTTCAATACCACTTACCACGTTGACAAACGATTGAGGAGCATTTAACTCAATTTGAATTGTACATCTGTTGGTTTAAAGAGGTTGTTTAATCAAAATTAATACTTTCTGCACTGTACGGGTTTTTGAAAAAAACAATGAAACAAGCGAAACTGTAAAACGTCCATAGTTCTTGAGATTTCCATGTTTTTTTTTCAATATTACCAAATCGGTTCAATCACTCTTTGCCCTGGGCATTTACAGCGTGCATTCTCCTGAGCCAGTCTGAATCGAACGTTTAAGACCTTTCAAGCACATTATCTACTCCCTGATTAAGTTTCAGTCAGAGTGTAATTCCGTTTGTCCACCCATTAATTCGGAATGCATGTTTCAACCACTTTGGTAAAATAGAAAATACTCTCCCTCTGAGGAGGGACAATGGGTTAACTGCTCAAATATTGAAGAGAGCTAGAAACATGGAGAGACAGATTCATCCATTATGACTTAAATTAAATAAGGCCTGACCTCAAAAAGGACATCGGTTAGCCAAATCAGTGTTGGGGACTTTTCATGTAAGAGTTGATGTCAAACTGCATTTCGTTTTAAATGTATGGTACACTTAAAACATTGTCTAAATGGCGAATGAAAGTGCCATGACAGCTTGTACCTCAGGCTTGACCCATGGCTCAATAAGAAAATAATGAAAACCGACAATCTGGGTAGCACGGATACGCAGAATGGTCGCAAATAATTTCATCTTTTCGCATGGAGATAGTATCTTGTTGCGGCTGTTGTCAGTTTGGGAGACATTACGAACCATCTTTAACTCGGGCGAATGAGTTTCTTGCCCGGATAAGCAATTTAAAAAAATTGTTGTCACAGTGGCTTTTCTTGGCTTCATTACTGCATGGTACTCCGCAAAAATCCTCAAGACAATTGCAATGCTGATAACTTCAGAAACAACGTAACGGAAAACCTCTTTGGAGATGACAGGGGGAACTTGTAAGAGGTTGATAGGCAAGGTATTTAGACATTTCTCGATCTCTGTGCGCGACCAATACCAAACTAGCTGTAACCCATGCTCGACGACGTGATGTGGACACAACATGAAGAAACTAATAAAAACATTACATACATCCTGCACATGATTTATGGACAGTAAATAGCTCTGAAGTCCAGAATACTCAATGATAACGCAAAGAAAAGAAGAAAACCCGTTACATGGATATTTTCAGAGACTGACGTAACGCCACCTGAATTTGTGGTCGCAAAATAACCCATACAGAACTTGCTCTTTTCGAAACTTACTTTGGAGTCAGTTTGATCTACTGTCATACCTTGGTGTCGTTGTAGTCAAGGACCAGCTGGTAGTCGGCCAGCAAGTCCGATCTATTGTTGATCTGTCTGATGGCAAGCTCCACGGCGGTAAGGCCCTGCAGTCCGTACTCACCAATCCAGCCGGGGGCCGAGAGGGGAAACAGCCCGGCCACGTGAAGCGCGGTGCCTGCCGCTGAGGTCGGCCCATGCAACAACCCCAAAGTTATGGCACAAAAAATCAATCGAAGCATTATTTTCACCTTCATGAAAATCTAATTCATGCTCAATGCAAATACGTTTCGACAGTAAGAGGTATGAAATAGCCGTCAAAACATGACTGTCATCTCTGAACGTAAAAGATGGAGTCTAGGAATTCCCTTCATAGATTACGCTTTTGACTTTGGTCTTGTCAACCAAATCTCTTGTTTCTGCGCTTCCTCCCACGTTCCAATCGAGCCATCTCATACAACGATAGCATGACGTCAGAAAACTGAACTCCGAGATCTGTGATCCGATTGGCTGGACTCACCGCAACCTCACGTACTGGTAGCTCAGCGTCTGCCCGATGGTATACACAGGCAGCGATTTGTTGTCTAAAAAGTGCAATTTTCGAGGTCTATAGTTTGAATTATATGCTATTATTGCTAAGGAGTTCAGTTCTCTTTGCCTATCTGTTCGTTGGCGGGTAAATTGATTTCGATTAACGGGCTTAATTACACGAATTACATCGAAGGACAAATTCACGCTGTTTAAGTACTTTTGAGAGGAGGGGAATGACCACCGTTTGCAATCTTCTAAAAAAAAAGGATGCTGGAAAATGCATAATATGAGTTGCTTGATAAAAATGTAGAGGTAGCGTGTGACAGCAGCGAGCTTCTGTATTGTTCAAAAGTCGGTGACCGATATAAAAGAAAAATAATATTTCGTGATCTAAACGAAACACACGAATTTAGGCCAGTTTCTGAACTGATTAAGTATGTTTATTTGGGCTCAATATTAGCTTACGAGATTGTTCAGTGTCCATTACATGTAATGTGTGTTTCCGTGACAACATCATATTTCTGACAATTATGTTTACGTTAGTCAAGTGCAAATTTGCCACGTGACAGCCTCGTAAGCTTATATTTGAAGCTGTAATTACTGTCAGTCTTAATACCGCCCTACCGCTAGGTGTTGTTTCCTTAGAATCATATTCTGTGAGCCATGGTAGTCTCTGTCGCTGACTGTGTCATTATCCTTGGATGCACATCGTGTTACTCTAGGCCTATAGCCACAAATACTGGACACCTGTTTTGGAAAATCAGTATTGATTCTTCGAAGATGAGTTTGGTGAATCGACAACTTATGGATTGGCGAGAGGCATCAAGTGTAGTCAGGGACTTTATTAAATGCTGTCTGTAATCACTCGAAAACCTACACCATCAACAGATTCTCAAGTAACGGCAACTTTCAACCAGTGCACTTGCACTAAAAGGAATATAAACTCTAGCGATATTCAGGTAGGCACAAAGTGCTGACGTGTGACACCATATGGAGTACGCGCGCAGTGCCGGTTCACGCGCTGATTCTCTACGAAGTAGAATTAGAGTCAAAAAGGTCAGAACATGTTTTCCGATAAACGTAATACTTTTATAAAAATCGATTTTTTAATATAATGTTTTTTAAACAGTACGTACTTTGAATTTTTAAATTCATTTTCCAAAACCGAATAAATTTTCGTACCTAATATATCTTTTTTGGATAAACATTTACAGACCTAGCATGTTTTTAAGATTCGAATGAAATTATTTTGATCTAACATGTTTTTAAGATTTGAATAAAATGTTATAGATAGGTCATGTTTTTAAGATACGAATAAAATTTTTGGACCTAATATGTTTTAAGACTCGAGTACATTTTTTCAGACCGAACATGTTTTCGAAATCTGAATGAAATTTGACAGACCTAACAATTTCCAGATTCGAATGCATTTTCCCCGACAATAAACAGCCAGAGGTTTCGAGTTCCGCACCTGCATTTCATCCGAATCCAGAAAGCATTTGAATTTCGAAAGCATCCTCCTTTAAAGGCATCCGAAATTTTGAAAAAGCATCCACATTAAAAAAGCATTCGAATTGAGAAAGCGAGTCCCCTCCCCCCATTGCCATTGCTCCCTGTACCGCCGCAGTGCATTTTTTGAGGAGCTGATCCTTGAGGAATGATTAAAAAACTCTGCGATAAATTAAACACCAATATTGTAGAAATCGAGCATACCATTCTTGGGCAACGCCTTTTCTAACCGAGACAGGTCAGTCAAGATGTACACCTTTCCCATTGTCGTATTCACTGCACGCGGGCTGGCGCGAGCGTTTTGAACTTCAAATGACCATAATCATAACATGTCTGATTGAGTTCATTTCCCCCTTCAGTTGTGAGACAGGCCAAAATAATCCATCTATTTGAGGGTTAAGCCAGCATATTTCTTTCATTGCTTATCAAAAGAAAGCTTCAAATCTCAATCCACGAATCCGTCGTAAGTCAAACCAACCAACATAACCGTCCTTCTCCCTGCCATTTAATCAATCTCAAGCCAGTGTGCCTTGGAAAAGTCAGCGAGGACCTAGAATCAATTTTTCACTGAGAAAGCAATTTTAGAAATCAGTCAACGGGCAAAAATAAGGTCTGCTCCTCTTGCATTTCGCCTTTAGTGGTACAAGCTCGACGTCGATGGTAAATTTGGTTCGGTTTGACTTGTAATCAAAATTTAATAGTGTAGATGATTAACGTTGGGTTCACTAAGGTAAAATAACAACGGATTTTTCTAAATACTTGGAGAGCACTGTACTGTGTGTTTTTTTCTATTGCAACTGTTCATTTTAAATCAAACCTCGTAAACTATTCTATAACTATAAAGCATAAAACAAAATAACAAAAGAAACGTTTCCCAACAAAACAACAGTACTAAAAACACTCACTTAAAAACGACATGAATGCTTACTTTCACCCAATCTGATTACCCATCACTGTTCATAAGAAGGGGCTTTTTTTAACATATTGTTCGTATTAGGCTCCTACGTGAACCCCCCCCCCAAAAAAAAAAAAAATAAGAAAACGCTCCCCTATTACAATGTATTAGCGGCAGTCTTTGTATTGCTGTATTTGCTGGAGCTTCGTTTATCAGCTACTTGACAGTCGTATCGGGTGTTTTGCAACACCGGATTCCACAAAGATAGTGCCACTATCTCCACAAAATACTGCCCCCAAACCCCAACAATTTTAACCCCGCGCGAACGCTTGATGACCTTTAATAATGATACCAATCAACACGGGATTTAACTGAACATAAGATGAAATGGAAAACTGTCAAAGGATTCTCCGGCCTTTGCGAATTCTTACATTCGAGATCATGTTTCAGGGTGATCAGATTCAGACTAATCACGGAACATATGCACTAAATACCTTCCACCAAAATATCCAATATATACTGATCATCTCAGAGTCGTATCAGTGTTTGCTGAAGAAAATTGGCTCTGGTGGCGACAAGGAGAATCAGCTGTGGATTTAGTTATATTTAGAGTAAATTACCTGAAATTCCCCGTGTGTCCCAAGTGTGCAGTAAAGCAGGTCAGGTCTAAAGTAACTCAAGACGGCACGGTAAGAAGGAAAGGGATGGCGTTGTCAATTTCAGAATAGAGATACTGAGAGACATGTCACACAAACCATGACAACCGAACAAGGGCAGCCGATTCTGTGGGAAAACTTCACCAATTTTTGTTTGCCTCTGTCTTGTGAATGGGCTTTTTAATTTTGGGTTGGCTTTGTTGTTAGTGTTGTTTTAAAATGGTCATAGCGACAGATTCGCATTCAGAAACTTAGACCGTTCACAAAACTATTAGCAGTGGCGAAGCCAATCTCTTGAGTTTTGTGTTTTAGGTAGTGTCCAAAAGACTCCAAATGTACCAACGAATTGCCTGGATTAAAGGATATACATTAACGAGAGACCACGAGGGAAATGCACTGAGGAATACATGAGTAACATCTTTTTAGTAAATTGGCACATACAAACCCCCTTTTCTAGCGCTTGTGTTTACTTGGGCATACCTATGGATCTTTAAAAGCAAACAACATAAAATGAGAGCATCACCAAGCCACGAGTGTTCTCTTTTAAACAATATGAATCATAAACAAAACCAGTTGACCGCTTGTGCTTGAAATGGACAGTATTTGCTTGCACCCTTTCTCGGGGGATATACTGTAGAATGCTGATCGACATGCAGTCACTTTTCATTGCGTCATCAGATTCTGAAACTTCACATGCTGCTCAAAAGAATGCACTTTAAAATTAGTAGAGGAATCGTCTCAGTTGCCTTCATTACACTTTATCGCAAAGGTGCTTGAGTATATTTAAGCATAACCTGTGCTAAGAAATTAAAAAAAAAATACAAACCAAAATGTTTCCACATACATTTAGAGGGAATTGTTGTAACGGTTCAAATTCATTTGGTGTTTTAATATTCTGGTCCAGTGTGGCAATACTTTATAGGCAAGGGGGGGGGGCTAGGGCCAACCCCTCCAAAAAGGGCACCACTATTTCTAGATTTTGGTCTATTTCATTCTCTTTCCTTCCAAAACCCTGTAGGAAAGAAAATCGAAATACTCTGGCCCACGTACAAACACAATTCTGGTCCCATTCAGTTATAAATCCATCTTTAAAATGTATTTATATGGCTTACTTATTTTGAACAAAAATTACGTTGACACAAGGACAAACGATACAACAAAAGTCCCAAAGCTTCAACCTGTGATCATTTAATAAGATAACAGTTGAGCGATTAAGCTAATAGATTCATTTAAACCCAATACCCAAAATTCAATATGGCCCTAAATATAGACGGTGCTGTTTACAGAGCGAAGTCCATCTATAAGTGGCACTACAACGTCTCACCTTTTGTGACTACCAGACCACTTATGACTTGAATGACTTATTCTAAACTTTAAAAATAGGATAGGATGTAGGATAGGATTTGGTTCATTATTCCTTTTCAACACTGGGGATGCAAAATACACCTGTGAAGAATGTAACAATTATTATTAAATAAAATCAGTCCAGCTGTACTCGAACTACGCGTTAGACCGCGGGCCAGAAACCATAGCTTGCAGGTTCGTCGATAGTTTGTAGTGGCAACTTACTTTTTGCTCTAATAAATACCTTACATACTATGAATCAATATTTTGCCCGTTGCCATCGGGATGTTTTGCTCTAAATGCGAAACATGCATGGGTATAAAAATGCGAAAATGCTCGTGTTTTGTTCGCCTTTTTGTAATGTGCCGATAGAGGGCGCTGTCTCCGACCTCGATCCTTTTGAACTCATGAAATACCACCATTGCACCTGGGGACGGGTGGCACTCGAAATGGCGCCGTCCGTAAGCATACGGTCGTTTGCCATGTTAACGACGAACCAGGAGAAATTTCACAATTTACAGAGAAGAGTTGGTGAAAATATGTGTCCTTGGGACTAGGTTTGTCTGTGTCAGTTACAATACTAATCACTGTGCTCGCTCTGATTTAGGAAGCAGATGCACTTTCAGGAAAATAGAAATTATTTCTGTACTACTTATTTCTACAACAAAAGTCAAGTTGATGGGGGGGGCGTAATTCCACAGAATTTCCGAGCAAATAAATTCATGACTCTTTATAGTCGTTTTCCTAGTTCCGGATCTTTCCTAATTCTGGATCATTTGAATGTGAAACCTACTTCTTTATGTACTGTTCTTCAGTTCGCATTCTAAGACAGGTTCTATTTGAAAGGTAAAATATATTTGTTTTCAAACTTTCTAGCTTGGCCAAAAATCAGCAACAATTTACAGGGCGATCGGTCACCCACTATGTGTGATTCCAAATACTTTTTCGTTTTTGACAGTCATATACACGTTACAGCTAATATCAAATGAATTAGAATTTCCGTTTTCAAAATCGGCTGAAAACTGAACCTTTTTTTTCTAAATTTGGATCGCAAATTAAGGGCATGCAAATACAGGTACGTTACAGAATCAACTATACTAACCTAGCAGAAATGTGACGTAATGGGTTTGTCAGTGCGCGGCGTCGGGATGGTATTGTTGACAGCTTGCTGTACAGCTGATAACGTTGAGTGACAATTTACACTTGTTCTATTTTTAATTTGTTGGAATAAGTTATGGAATTTTATTTATCAAATATTTTTCCCTTAGAAATTCTCCATTAGAAAAATCAGCTTGTTACCATGGCTGAAAAATGGATTTTCGTGCGGTTATTTTTTTATTCGTGAACTTTTTGTCGCATTCCAGAACTGGTTTAACCGAACCAGAAGTATGAAAAGTGTCCTAATCACTTTTGGCATTCATGTTAGTTAAAATTAAAAGCTTGTAATCAGAAAAAACAAAAACAAAACTTTGCAGTATCTCTTAAACACAAGGTGGACTACTGACCACATTTCACTCATGAATTTGAGGATTTTGTAAGTGCAATCTCACTGAATACTTTTCGCGATCTGAAATAAGGAAATAAAGTGTACATGTTCTTTACTTCAGATTTCCTTACATAATCTTATGAATATGTTAATCGTTCATGGTTCAATTATTTTCTGTCGGTATGCGCCTCCCTGGGAATGTTGGCTAATTTACACGTAAATCATCTTGATTTCTATATCACCAATTCAAATAGCAATTTAGATCAAATAGTTTTTTTTGGTGATTTTGAATCGGCAGATTTAATTTAGGGAGGACAACATGTTTCAATTTTCATTTGTTACCTGATTTGTATTTTTTCCAGGTTTTGCACATTTTACAGCATTCTCCCTCCCTATAATTATAACCGACCTCAAGCCTCCAAAATCCTCTAGGTGGTTTTGGAGGATTTTATGTATATTCACGTGTCTTTTTTTTTTCATTGCATACAGGCACCCCCTTCGTGCACATGGTTTATTGAATCTTTAGACCTGTTGCAGGGCATGCAAATCAAAGAAACATGGTGTTTTGAAGGAAGAAAGTACAAAGCTGGGCTTGAACGACGGCTACCATTCCCTAGGAGTGGCGACAATTTTGTAGGGTTTGGGCGAAAAGGTCATCTTGAAATCTCCTTTGAACCTCATGGGAGGCTCGCCCCTCGGCAATGAGAAGTCGAACTGGTGGAGAAGATGAGAGAAGAGGAGGAAGAGCTGAATACGAGCCACGTTCTCTCCGGGACAAAGGCGACGGCCTGAAGACAAAACAGACACTATGAAGACATGACAGACCACTTAGTGGAAAGTGTTCTTTCCAAGAGATACAACTTCCTTGCTACTTATGTTTTCAACCGTTAGGTTTTGATTGTTTTGGATGTCTAGCCGCTACTATGGGCCTCGAGCCGTACCAAGAGAGGGCACTACTTTCTTAGCAAACGGAGGCTCCATCGGTACCAACAAATGAATACTCCCGACCAGCATGCCTCTTTTTAAAAATGCGGAGATGCTTCTGCTCGAGACGGATACGAGTATGCTCATGGCATCTGTATGTACATAGGCTCAAAAAGTGATAAATAGCGGATAAATAGGTGGTAAAATCTTGTAAGCGTAACTTCTTCGGTGTAATTCACATGCAGTGTAAAAAAAAAAAAAAAAAAAAAAAAAAAAAAAAAAAACAATGTCATGCAGAGGCAAGGAATTTTTGAATTCCACCGAATCTCATTAAAATTGACTTCTCTTGAGCTCTGGGCACATCGAAATATTTCCCAAGGGGAAATGCTTAAATGGATTAAAAGAGATTTTTGAATGGATGGAGGATAGTTATATAATGTACGTAAACCATTGAATAAAGAGTGCACGATGTAGAGGAAGATGTGGCGAAATAGTTTACCTCTGCTAAATACATTAAGCTGTTTGTCTCGGCGATCCAGACGGCCTGACTCATCCAGGAATCGTCCAGGAACGAACTTGTCGGGGTCTCCCGAATCCTGCCAAATCGCCAGATCCCGGCTCATGTTCCAGAAGTCGCCGACCACGATGGCACCATTGGGGATGTTCAAGCCAAACATCGTGGTGTCCTCGGACACGTAATGCGGACCCACCAGGGGCACCACACAACCGATCCGCTGTGATTCGCATATTGTCGCCCCCGTGTAATGCAGTTTGGATTGGTCCGAGAGCGCTGGGGCCCGCCTGAGTCCCACCTCCGTCGCTAGCTCCGCGTGGATGTCCGCCTGGACGTCGGGCTGGCTGACCAGGTGGAGGAACGCCCAGCGCAGGGTCGAGGTAATCGACTCTGTTCCGCCCAGGAACAAGTCAAACACAGTCAGAGCGATGTCGTCGGTATCGATGTGGGTCTTCTTGTAGTTTCTCTTCCTTAGCAGCATCCCTCGGAGCAGTACGTCTATTGCATCTCTGGGGTTGTCGAAGTCTAGCGTCTCCTGGTGCTGCTTTACTTCCTCCCGCAGGAACGTTACGGCATTCACGGTAGCTGTCTTGGCCTCCTGGAAGCCGATGAGGGAGCCAAGTCTCTGGATGAATGGCACCATCCCCAACAGCGACCCAAAACCGTCCGTGTCAGAGAAGAGGTGCAAGCAGTCCAGGAACTTCTGGAAGCGGGGATCGGAGTCGTCGAAGCGTCGACCCAGGGCGATGGTGGACATGACGTTGGCCGTGGTCCTCCTCAGCAGGCTCTTGGGGTCGAAGGCCCGGCCATTCAGATTTCGGATCTGCTGGACTAGATGCTTGGCCTCGCTAGTGACGATATCTTCGAAGGTCTTGCCCCCAATGCGGTCACCCCTGAGTGCTGCCATGACATACATTCGTAGCTCTGACCACTTCTCCCCAGATGACATGACAATCCCTGAATTGAGAAAAGAGTGAAAAACCTCACTTCTAACATTACAACGATTGCATAAAAATTGCCTTTATCATTTTATTGCTTTCACTTGATTAAAGTTCAAATACGTTCGACTTCGAGAGACATTAATCATGCCACCCCACAGAAAAAACAAAAACAAAGAAATACCAATACAAAATACCGCCTAATTTTCGTTTTGCATCAGTTGCTTGTGATGTAGGATGTTAGTCACTTTATGTAAATTGTGGACAGCAGATGTTTTTTCCATTTGTATCGCACGTGGCATAATGCGGTATTAATCTACAAGACCTTCTCTGAAAATTTAACCTTTTGGGTAATGTGATATTGATTTTAATATAATTGGATTACGATTAATATATGCAATCACACAATCTAAAATGACCGCTCACAAAGGTATTAGAATGAATATTCATTTAACAATACAATTTTAAAATGCTGAGTAATTTTACCACAACATTTGTCAAATACAATGTATTAGCAACTAACCAGAAGCATGGGGGTTGGGGAAGATCTTTAAGTCTGCAGAGAGCGTGGAGGGCGGTCTGGCAGCAGCCTGGGGGTTGATGAACGCCACCTTGATCGTGGTGTACTGGCTGACCACCACCACCAGCTGCCCACCGATGTTCAGGCTGTAGATATCGTGCCGGCGGGAGAGGTCGGACAGCCAGCTGCGGAACTCATACCCGTGGCCCAGCCGAAGAAGCTTGGGCAGCAGCCCCAGAATAGGCCAGCCCCGTGGGCCCGGCGGCAGATTGCGCCGGTAGCGCAGTACCACGGCCAGGCCCAGGAAGACCGCGACGCCAACGAGGATGGAACTGACATTGTATACAAAGCTGAGGACGCCCGCCATCTTTGTTCTAGGAAGCAGGCCTTGCAATAAAAGCCACTGCAATATACCCGTGCAGAAAGTCTTTATGCTGTGGCACGTACACCTAGCCTCTGTTACATGCCATCTGCATAGGCCAAGTACAATGTACATGTACATGTACTGTACATGTAGGGCTTATGCTATACAGATAGTAGTACAACGCCTGTACAACATGTACCTCGCTCTAAAGTGCGATCTGTTAAATCTGTGAACCTCGCTAATCTGACCTTCAACCCTAAGGTGACCTCTAATCGTGCCTGAGAGGCCTACGTTTCTTCGTATAATGAAAACGCACGAAACAGCCGGGCCGTATGGAAGGTCGACGGACAACGCGACTAAAACAATACAACTTCATGATGTTGTCTTTTTGAGACGAGGAGTACATATTAAAGGTCACTTGGGGCGCTCTTTCCATTAAGCAGGCGTAGAATCTCGAACGCTGAGTTAACACCTACTATAACTGGAGCAATTTGGAGTAAACCCCCAAATTTTCTTTGCCAGAACAGTTAATGCCACCCAACTAACAAACAAACCTTTTATCTACATGATATGCTACTCAGTTTTCGTACGAAATTGTGATACCTGAGATGCATTTTAACTCGTATCTCCAGCTTATACATGTTTACAGTTAATCCAAGTCCTGAGTGAGACCCAATAAGGCAAAACCTTTTTCCAAGAAACATATTTTCAGATAACTTTTGTTGCGCTGTTCCTATCATTTGCCAAACAGTAGATCTTCATAAGATACTTCCTTTTGCCAATATAGATGTCTGGGCTTGAATAACAACAACTTGATGTAAGCCAGGCTATATATGTACCCTCCAGGCTTGCACAGCTGTATAAAATTCATTTGCGCAAAAAATTTGAATTGAGAAAAAGTGATGTACCTGTAGCCCTTGCAGCTGTTCGACGCTGTTTCCCGCGGTGAAATCTACAAGGACAGAGATTAATTTACACAGTTAACTAGTCGTAAACGAGCTGTACATTAAATTGACTACCGCCGCCACATAAAAGGCTAAGAGTATACTGTATCACTAACCAAGCGTAGCCGCAGCGCCGGACTCTCATAAAAAATAATCCGAGATTTCAATTTTTTCATCGCATCTGGACTTGAAGCCTACACTAGTAGGCTATAGACCTGCAGCAGTCCTGTGGTCCTATACTTTACCAAATACAGAAAAGAAGAAACGTGTTCAATTAATTCGAGACCTCTAGCTTTCTCTGCCTTATGTTTCAAGTCATAATACAGCAAAATGCGGACCTATTACGAATTACATTACACAGCATCAAAATTATATTTTACAGGCAAAATGCAGGCCTATTTCATAAATGAAATTTGTACATGATCCGTACCAAACTTTTCATCTGTCGTCCTCATTCAGTTCAACATAAAATAAATTTGTTTTTAGGAGCTGATTATTACACTTTATGAATATTTAATGAAAACGGTGAACCTATTGTATTGACCCATTTTGTGAACATTGAAATGCTTTTTAAAACTCTTTTTTTAACAAGGCAAAACCACTTCTTTGTGAGACATGCCAACCATGGAATATACATGTTTTAAAGATAGAAGTTAACATGACTGGTGCTTAACCTTGTTTTGAGTTGTAGTACGAGGCAAAAATGCAGTTTGACCGAACTGCTGTAACTAACAGGGCTTGCAGAATCTCAGTTCTTTTACGTCCTGGGCGAAATTCAGAATATGTCAATAGATCCCATAAAGTCACCGTGTCATAAATAATATGTACACGGAGGTGCATCGTTTTGGCCTACAATTCTTTAACAGTCCCCATATGTCGGATGTGAAAAATTACACATAAACCGTTTTGCCGTGAAGTTTAGTGAAAATAAGTGAATTGTTTCAGTAGTAAAGCAAGATGCTTTATCCCCGAGACATGTAAACTCTGTTTGAAAGCAATGCACGCAGAGCAAAACACTGCATCAGTGACTGTTCATCAGACTAAGACGTCCATCTGAAAAAGATGAAATTTTACATTTTCAGATAAAATATCATAAATTGCCTTTAAAGTACAAATTGATTCGGATATATATTCAAGCTTTTCAGTCCGCAGAAACTCAGAAACGTCTTTTTTTCCCTCAAAATTGTCATTTCCAATTTAAATTGTTTCAACCTTAAAAGGGCCGAACATTTCGTGGGGAAAAAAAGATTGCGGTTATCACCGGCTTTATGCTATTCAAATTTAATGGCATGTTATATCAGTGAAAAGATCAAATCGAACAGAGAATTTATGGGCCTAAACCAGGTTGTGTATAAGCGCGTAGTTTTGCCAAGCCATAAATCTACATTCACCAACTAAAGTTTCTGCAAGTTTCTCTTTAAGTTTGCTGTAGGCATTAGTATAGTACAAACTGAATGAAGCTGTTTGCAAGTAACTTCCCATGTCTTAATGTAAACAATTACTGATTTTTGATTAATATTCTTAAATAAAATTAAATAAACGGTTTTCATTTCGTCATCGGCATGCCTGTTTAGAATTAATTTTTTCAACGGCTATACCACTTGACATATAGCGTTTGACTGTGGTATGCTTAAATCAAAATTCCGCATTAATTATTCTTTACGATGATCAAAACAGCCTTGCATGGACAGTTCGTAGAATATATAGTTCGTAGAATATACACATCGTGCTGCCCTTTCACAAGGCCTTCAAAAACGACGCTTAGCTGAATGAATCTTTAGCTTACGATATCAAATTCTGCTCCCTCTCCTCCTAAATTATGCAAGGTATTTATCGTTCCTTGCACCTACATTGAAAACTGCACCAACCCAACGCAAAAAAAACAAAGCTTCTTGAAAGAAAAAGACTTCAAATGCCACACCGTTCAGACAAAGCAATACGAGCGGTGAAACATAAGCCACCAGAACAGTTTTGTTGATTTCCTACATTGTTGCTTTTGTGTGCGTGTGTTTTAAGAGCATTAGCACAAATGTTGGCGTTACTTCCTGCGCAAATGTCGCCTTCACAAATACCACAAACAAGTAATAAAACAACAGATAAAGCGCATTTGTTCAGGTCTGGCTGTTGTGTTTTTTACCATTTCGTCGTAATAGACACCTACTTTTCAAGACGCATTATCGAACGCATAACCAACAGTGGTTGCCCTTGCAAATCGCAATAAAATACCGTTTTTGGAGATAAAAACACCTTTCACGCACTTGCAATTTTCCACCATACAGCACACACGGCTGGTGGAACTATAAGCTGCAGCATTAAGGGCTTCAAGCCAGTCTTAAAGTTAGTTGCTAATTGAATTAGTTGGAATTAACTCACATGGTAATTGCATTCTAGGCACGACCGCTGAATACGAAATCGGTGAATCCTCCTACAATCCCGGCTTTGTTGAATAATTTTGCGCACTGCACTACACCTATACACTGAAAAATTGCCTGGGTTAAATTTTAACCTAAAGAAGGGTAAAAACTGCAACTACCCAAATATTACAAATTACCTTGTGTTTTATTTTTCACCCACAAAATGAGTGGATAGCAACCAATGTTTGATTATTAAAATAAACCAAAAATTAATTTCAATCACCCAAATATGATTGAAACAACCAAAACTAGTCTAGTTGCAGTTTTACCCTCTCTTGGGTCAAAATCTATCCCAGGCTATTTTTCAACATACTGAAACACGCCTGCCATTTTTCAACATACAGATATCATGGACTCAGTGTAAAAAGTCATTATAACAAACATTTAAATTTTAAAATAATTTAAGGGCCTTACTCCGAGCATGAAAGAAATACCTCATTGAAAACTTTTATCTTTTGAACTTTATTTTACACATCTTCAAAAAATAAAACTGGTTTTGGGGGCCAATATACTTCAACCTATTTTCTTGCTAAAAGGCCTTTTAGTGCAAGTATTCAACAGGGACTTTTAAGTACTGACACAATGATACATCATTTCAACATAAACGCCTGTGGGCGTTGATTTTCATAATTCCAAAAAACATTCAGCTGAAAACTACAAACAAAGTGGCCATGGTCATTTCTGCCACAGTATTTGTGCTAAAATTGAACCTTATTTTACCGTTAACAGGACAAAGCTAGAGTACGTACAATCTGTTGACCCTGTTCCTTCCTTTAATGCTAAAAACGCCCACAAATAATTACTTAACTTTTACCTATACAACTGGCCAGGCAATCTGTGTATTCTGTGGGCAACAATGGCACAAATACGCACCTTTACCTGGAAATTCTTTACCAGGTCAGTCGTTTCAAAAGTAGCTCACGTGAGTTTTGAATTTAAGAGGAACAGATTTTCTTTACAAATCAAATCAATTGTTAATGTGCCGTTTAACAAGCGAGTGTTAACATTATGTCACTTATTTCTATTGACAGAAAAAAAGTAATCCAAACAGAAAGAGATTCTACGGTGAATGAATAGTTCGTTTACACTGAGATGTTTGAAGACAAACTGCTGAATATCAGCCCAAGCAACCTGTGCATCCTTAGGCCCCTTAAAGTTGCTTCTATCAGTGTGGAATAATTAGACCGATTGCGCTCGCTAAATCATGTGACCTAGAGTGGGCATCACCCCATAGCACAGTGGATTTTGAGTGTTGTTTATAAGCAATACAGCCAAATTACGGTATACCCAGCACACCAACGGTCTATGAGTACGCTACCTACCGTCGGATTTATTTTTTTGTAAACGATGCTCGTGAAGCACTTTAATTTTTATGGGTGCCGCGTTTGATGAAACATGTATTACATGCCCAATTCAGGTCTAATAAAACCACACAAGAACTCCTTCAGCTATTTCGACAGTTCATAGATGCCAGCTGAAGTTGACACGAACCTTAGCGCTGACGTCAAAATACAGCATAATCTCGGTGAGGGTCAACCTGACTTAAGCTAATTACTGCACTCATGCAGATTGTACTAATGCACCAACTGAAGGGAACTTGAGCATGATCCGTTTGTCGTACACTCGATTTACCCGCGGTGTTCTGGCAACCATCGCCTCCTTCGTAGTGTACATCCTTCACAGGACGGTGGTGAAGGCATTGGGCATGATTTTGGTCTCACTCCGGAATGACTTGGAGACCGACACCTGGGTCGCTGGAACGGTGTTCTCCGCAACCGATTGCGTCACCGATATGACAGGTAATTCACACTACGTAATATCTGTTACAACTTCGCCCTGTAAGCTGGCAGGGAAACAAAGGGATTCAGGAGTAATTCTGTGAAATCTCTCCCCCCTTTCCCTTCCCTCCTCCCCCCTCCTCCTTCTCCGAGGCATTGTGATCATTATTCTGAAATCTCTCATTCTTTTGCTGTGGCTACGAGTCTTACGCCGGGGATTTTGGGGCAGCCTGGCCGACTGTTTTGAGCAAAGTGAATAACCTTGTGAAATTCTGGCGGGTCAACAGGGTGAGGTCAGAGTCGTATTCAATACAGTGAATGATTCTTTTGTGCTTAATCAGGCGAGGGATTTTATTGTGAAGGTAGGGCGATAGTCATACTGGTGTTTATTTTCTATTTTGTTTTTGAATTTTCCAGAAGCAGTGTGTATGTGTAGTACTACTCATACACCTCATTTCAGAGTCTATCACCGCAGTGAAGACGTCGTGTTTCATAGCGGACTCAACCTTAACTATGAATAATGTCAAATCTGAATAACAGATTTAACGTCTGGAAGAAATATAGATTACAAAACAAAATATAAAAAACTTCATTAATTATAATATCGTGACTTCTTGGTGTAAGGTAAATAAATATCGCATACATAATATCGTGACTTCTTGGTGTCAGGTAAATAAATATCGCATACATAACGACCGTTGTGTCCAACCCTTGATTGGTTTTGACAAATAGGTCAGTTATAATGGAAAACGCGCATTCGCGGTCAGACGTCAACTGTTTTGGGGAATCTGAAGACTAAAGGTTTTTCAGTGCAAGTGGATAGTTGGTAAAATGGCCTTGTTGTTTCGACGACCCACCTCGATCTTCTGTCTGTAAATTCGTCATTTTGTATAAGTATCTCAAATGGTTGTTCTCTTAACTATTTGTCTGATTTCACGTTCGTTTGAAACGATCGACTGCATGTTCACTTTGAGCATAAATTCTTCCGTGACCGAGTCTCCTTGATCAGGTCCTTCTTTGATAAATGTTTAAACTTGAGTTTTAGCGCAGACTCCAAATCCAAATTTCGACTAGATTTTCCTCATGCAAATACTTCATTTGCGATGGATGATTACACCTTGTAAATTCTAAAAAAAGAAAAAAATCTCTCCTTAGATTCTTAAGGGGTACCATCTAAACAACCCACAAGGACAACGATTGTTTGTTCTGGGGTTTCCTATTGTTCCAGTGCCCCACAAGCCTCCATAAACTTACGCCTTGACACACGCATACAACACGTCCACCTGAGTTGACTTGCTCTCAGTCTGTGTGGTTGGCTGATTTTGGAGCAAGAGAACCGAACATAGTGAGAGACGCTTAAAGGGAGGGGTGTTGTACCGAAAAGGGGGTCTGGTTTAAAATGTGGAGAGACCCCATGAAGGTAGAAGGAAAAGACTTCAGAGAATTGGTCCCGAATCCCCCATGATCTCGAAACCTCCTTGTGTTATCCTTTCCCAGTGTTTTCTTTGTATTAGAAAAAAAATGAAAAACCCTTCCCAGAACAGAAATGGATGTACAATCTACAACAGAATATTTCTATGATGTACGGCATATATAATATTTTAACAAACTTCTTCCCTGCTAGGGACGTTGAATATCTACCTTATCAACTGTATTTTGCTTGATATCAGCATAAAAAGAACAACTAACCTTTTGCAATGATTCTCCAATGCAACGATGCAATAAAAGACTTTAACTTCGTTTAGACAGCAAAACTAAAAACGTGACATCAATACCAAAATAGGGTATTTTTAAAAACTTTTTTTTAACCCTTTGCAGTCATTTATCGCCAGTTTTGTCAAAATCTACAGCGGTAGATTTCCACAGCTGTACTCAATCATTTGAACGTAGGCTAGCAGTCATATATGCCCTTGAACTTCAAATGACCGCTACACCACACTGTATTTAGTTCGAGTTAACTTTATAACGAAATCAGGTATGGGACAACCGAGTTCTTAGGGGCAGATGCTGAGAGATGGTCCAAGATGACCTGGCTCTTTTGGGGTTGAGAGTGCTATGAACTATTTGCATTTTCTGTAAGTTTTCAATATTGGCCGACTAGAGGATTGATATTTACTGTCTGTTATTATTTTATTAACTTGTTTTATTTTTGAGTTCACAGCCTAGAGAAATATCAAGAGAGAGAGAGAGAGAGAGAGAGAGAGAGAGAGAGAGAGAGCTGTTCTATTAGGATTTTCAAAGCTTATCTCATTTAGTTTGTCTCATAAAAATTCCATGGACCACAGGACGTTCCCGATAAGCTCCTGGAATACGTATAGCCCTTTTCTCTTCATTGGACAAAAAGTCGCAGAGATCGCCGGGAGCTGTCCGTGACAGCACACCGTTCACCAAGCACTTCATATTGATCAATGGCGAAGCCTGATGGACTACCAGAAGACCATTATCCACTTAAGGCTCAGGGAAGCTAACAAAGTTCGGTCCCAACCCGTACGATTTTCTTTGTTTTTCGTTCATATATTAGGCCCAATAATTGGACCAATTGGAAAGCGCTTCGGTTATCGAAGAGTCTGCATGTTTGGCGGGGTGATGACTGCCGCTGCCATCATCGTGGTTTCACAGGCACCGAGTTTTCTGCTCGTGGCAATCTCACTCATTGGACCAGTAGGCAAGTATTTTGTCTGGTTTGTGGCCGACCACCAGGCGTGTAGCTGGAGTTTGAATTGACCTTGAATGAAAACTTTCGTCCCATTTAATTTTATTTATAGCAGGATAAGAAGACAGCAGGACGATCAGTTTGTAGCACATCGATCGTCAGATGTGTTAAGTAACGTATAACCGTCCCGATTCCTGTTCCAGCTGAATCCTCTTGCATTCTGATAATTTCTACTTTCCAAATTCACTTCTAATACGTAAAATAGAGAAATCTTCTGTCATTCCTTTCAACTGCCAACTAAATAAGCTACGGAGTTGATCATGTCAGTGTGGGTTTGAATGCATATAAAATGCAACTTTAATTTGCCCTTACCTGACATAATATGTCCACGACCTGCTTACCGGTGCAGACGTCTTAACCACTCGACCACAGTGGGCTTGTCAGGGTTGGCTGGCCGATCCAAGTTAGGTGAACAAGCCGATATTGCAAACTATATTACAATTATCATTGGATGAAATTACACTGAAGTTAGTTTTTCGTGAATCAATACAAATATGATAGTGAAATTGAAAAGAAAAGTATACTCATTCATTCTTGCATTCGCCCAGCCAAAAAACAAGAAGATTATGGTCAAATGACGTAATAAATGGGCGGACATTTCGATGATTTAAAAAAAATTGTACTTGATGGCATACTTGATAACAAGCGTCAAGACGACAACCTAACTAAATCAAAAGGTTTCTGAAATGAACGACAGATGGGTGATTTTGAAAACGAGTTTGAATATCTATAAACGATATATAATAACCATGGGATAAGCAATAAGCGGGAAATGGCTGAAATAACTGACTCCTGAGACAACGTTTATGCATTTTTCATGAATTTGACAATAAATCCATCCTGTGGGTATATTATATGGTATTTAGAACAAACTCAGGATGCAAAATCGACACATAAAAATTATGCATTGCATATGCATAAATTAATAACAGCATAATGCACACTAAGCTACCTGTATCCACATACCCACTTTTTTCTAAATAACAAACGTAACAGCGTTCTTGCAATCTAACAAATATTCGTTGGTTGATTTCCGCTTGAATCGACTTTTTTGCCATCAGCTCTTGGACGCAGCCTTGTCATCATACTCGCCTGTGCAACCCTCAGCGAGCATCTGGACAACAGAGAATTTGCTCTGGCGTCGGGAATCGCCAAAACGGGCGCCGCACTGGGCTACACTGGCATACCGCCACTGGTGCAACTGTGCCTGGATACATACGGATGGAGGGGAACCATGCTGATCTTGGGTGCGCTATGCGCTCACCTGGTAGTGTGCGGCGCTTTGATCGTCTCCTCAGAAACCGGGGGTGCAGGAACAAATCTTAAAAGTGGCTACCAGTCACTGTCAAATGGCGACACATGCCCTGACACAGAAAGAATACAGCAAGAACCGAATCCAAAACGCCTCCTGCTGCCACTGAAGTCCTTCTATCAACGCGTGAAGGCTGCTTTTGGTCTGTCCATGATATATGACTTCAACTTTTGGAATGTGACACAAATAAGTATCATAAGTAAGATTGCGTTGATGGCCTGGGTAATTTATTTTGTACCACACGCAGAAAACAGGGGATTTTCGGGGGAAACTGCTGCACTGATGGTTACAGTAGCAGGAGTTGGTCATCTTGCTGGTATCCTTGTCAGTAGCTTGCTTGTTTTTAAAGGAATCCTGTCCAGTATGGGCTGCCTTATGTTAGCGATTCCTTTCACTGCAGTGCCACTATGCATCGATACCTGGATGACCAGTAGGTGGTTAATGGCGGCCAATGCCACGGTTCTCATGCTCGCCCTTGGCTGCTCGTTTACGATGTCCACGGTCGTGCTAAAGGAAGTACTGGGGGACGAGATATTCCCTGCCGCTCTTGGTTGGACGACTTTCTTTGCTGGCCTCTTCAAATTGCTCGGGGGCTTCCTTCCAGGTAAGGCAAACACCCTTTAAACCACCCCCATCAATGACTTAATTAAAAAAAATGACCACGGCTACTTTACCAGTGACGGAATTTCCTTGCTTGGCATATTCGTCTTTAACCCTTATTTTGTTTATGTTTCCTTGCTTCACTAATCCTGAACCAAAACGTAATAGTTGATTCATGCACGGTTTCAAGTAGAGGTAGGCAGCACCTCGAGGATTGTATCTACAAAACTTTAGAACACATGTTCTTTACGCTCAATACACGTCATATATACACATGGTATCAGAAAATCGGTACGTTCCTTTCTGATGTGATGAAATCTGAAACAAATCTTCCTCAAATTAAATTTGCTAATTTCTCCTAAATCTCAGCCAGTAAAGCAGGGCTTATATGCAATAGGTTTCTCATTGTTTTTTTTTATTTCTTCTTGCGGGTTCAGGTTGGGTGTTTGATCACAGCGGTAGCTTCGAGGTTGGATTCGCCATCATAGGCGCTCTGCAGTTCACACCGTTTATACCAATTATCGCACAGAGACTGCTGTGCTCTAAAACAAATTAAATGATCCTGTCTGGCACTACTACAGCAATGAGCATTACAACAATCAGCTCATTTCACAAGTGGGCAGAGACCAAGGTGGAAGGTCTTATTAATCAGGAAAAGATCAGAGAGACGTGATCGGAAATACAGTGAGGGAAGTGCCGGGCGTATTAATTAAGCACCCATTAGCTTATCTGACGTATTATCGACTTAATAGGGTGCCTTTGTTTTGTTTGTTTGAATGTAATCTGTGTGTTAAGTGTAATTTTACCCTTTTAAAATTGAGCCCTCCTGTCCGACATGTTACGAAAAGGCAAATAAACCTAATAAACCAATGTTCCATAAACAACTTATCGCGATATAGATACAGATACCAGTTTCATATTGCCGGTTAACGCTGTTCCTTCTCTATTTTGTGTCATCGCAGAAGTAAGCAATGACGTATATAAACATGTAGCCGGTTTGAAACTTGCCCAGGATCGAAAATATTGAAACTTTGTTTTCCCACTGAATTTTGCTATTTGTCACCACTTTTATAAATGTTATTTAATTAATGTGCATTTCGTTTTCATATGGAAATTTCATCAGATAATCAGCAACAGATGGAGAACAATGGTGATCTAATACTGTCTGACAGCGAAATGTCGAAGTTGGGCAACTATCGTTGCATTTTTACGTATCATTTAAGGAGGATTAAGGTTACGATAAGCTCTCTGATTTTGTTTTTTAAATACAGGTAGAGGGTTATAACTGGCAATAGGTATTCCAGTAGTAGTCAAATAACTTAATATTTTCTGCGATTTGGAATATGTCACACCTTGTTAGTCTTGGGTATATAATTTAAAGTTTAACGACGGCTTTGCACTAAGATTTAATAGTTACAACATTAATTTATGGTTATGTTATCCTTTTCTTGAGGAATAACTATCTGGCTTACCGACGTCAATAACGGCCATTTTAATGATGTAGATTGTCGGATATAGAATGAGAGAAGCAGAAACAGTGGCCCGAGAACACCGGAAATACTAAAAAAAAATTTGAGGATTTTTGCTGAATTGAAGAACAAAATAGTGGATATGAATAAGTAATTACATGTTAAGGTACTTTTTAAAATCGAAGCATGATAAACCTGTGTTACATAAGTGTGCTCTACAACTTCTTACTTTATCGTACATAGAAAGAATGACTCAAAACACTTCAACCAACATGACCGACGAGAAGATTCTGGAGTGACTGAATGAGTCATTTACATTTTCAGTGTTGACCTAAACAAGCTTCTGCCGCAGACGGATGTTTTCTGTGCCCGAACTCACTAAATCATACAGTAGCATTTCCAGCAAATTCTACATTTCGCTGATGTCGATGCCAATGCGAATGATGTACGAATGTATCTTTACCAGAAAAAAAAATCTTTTTCAGGTTGGAGTTAAAAATCATGTAGCTCACGTAACTTTGAATTTAGTAGGCACAACTAAATAATCTTTTAAAACCAAATCAGTTCTTCATGTGCTGTTTAAAGTGTCGAAAAATTTGAATAATTAGAATCGTTGATAGAATGAATTACTGACTTCAAATGACAAAAATTCGGATTCTAAGCATTTTGATTGAGAAGGAGACTCTGGAGTGAATGACTAAGTCGTTTGAAAAATACAACGCAATAAACGTTGTAGCAGTGGATGGAGAGACGTGCCCTTTCGGACGAAATAGAAATTTTGCCGATTTGGACCAATTTCAAACTTTTAACCTAAGATTATAAAGGCCCAGTTTTGCTCCAAATTTTCAAAATGTAACCTGTGAATAAAGAGTAAATGCCAAATGAAGGTGCATGACTGACCTAAACTGCAATCTACATTCATAGATATTTCTCCGACATTAAAGAATGTACGGAAATAAAACTTTTAGCAGTGGACAGACAAAACGTTAGTGTTTTCACAGAGTGACCAAAACCCGGGAAATCGAAAATGTTTCGATCAGAAGTACATCCTTTCATTCAAAGAAAAAAACTAGCAAAGTTTAACAACAAAATGTTGTTTACTTTCCTGTAAACAAAAAACTAACAAAAAGCTTGGACTCTGTGTTTCTTTGTCTTCACGAAGTGACGAAGTCACATCGTTTGCAGGGTTAATTATACACTATCCCTGCACGAGTCTGGGTGTGGAAACCATGCGTGCGATGTTGTACACCCGCACGCGTTAGAAGGTCACGAAATGTAACAGTTTTCTTCAACGCGTATTTTTTTACGAAGTGAGAAAAATGTACAATGCAGTTGGGAAAAATAAAAACCTTCGGGTTTTTCTGTTTTCACGAAGTGATAAAAAACCTTTTTTATTTAGTTTTTATTAATGAATCACTCTTTAATTAAGACAATATAGCTTGAAAAGTATGAATTAGCATTTTCTTACTTATTTTCTGTCTTACATTTCACGACGTTGTAAAATATTCCTCAGTCCGTAACAGAAAAGTGATCGAAAATATGTAGGCCTAAAAAGGCTGGTATTGTTAAAAGCGTTTATCTCGGATTCTCTGACGGGCAATATTTCGAGGTTTTCATTACTGAAGAAAAGTACCCTCTCAAATGACACCAAAACTGACTTAATTTAGCCATTTACAGACTTTTAAGGCTCAAATATAGAAAACAAGGTTTGACTCAAAAGCAATGCGTGAAACATACGTGCAAAGGGGAAATGGAAAATCACGTAGCACGATTGACCCAAAGTGCCATCCTTTTCGGGGATGTTTCTTTTTAACCGTTCAAATTTGGATATGAAATTTGAATACAAAACACCTGCACTTGTAACCAAGATGGATCATTTAGACCATTGTTAAAGGCTGCTTCAGCTAGCAGCCCAAGCAGCTTATTGCTTTCATTATGGCTTTTTCCCCTTTTTTGCGAAAAAGGCATGCTCTTTTTCTTTTTTCCTTGTTGATTTGTGTTTCAGTTTTGCGAAAAAGGCATTTTTTTTTTTGGTTTGCATTTTTAGCAAAATTAAGAAAAGGCATTTGGGGGGGATTTTGAAAATAGGCATTCCTTTCTTTTTTTTTTTAGCTTTTCTGCAAGTTGCGGAAAAGGAATTCTCTTTGTTCTGATTTTTTCTTCTCCATGTTCTCCTCTACAAATCTCCTTTTACTCTGTGCATGTTTCTTCTGCCTGGACCTTAGTCTCTGCGCAAGCTCGTATCTTCATCAAACTTAGACCAACCAAAGAACTTGTGGCACTGATATGCCTCGAAGCATTTTGTCACGATGATTTGATCAGTTTATTTATAGTATATTTTTGAGTATTCATTTTTGCCTATTGAGTTTGTACTCAAATTCAAGGTGCTTTTTTATCACTTAGTGATCTTTAAAGTATGTTATTTCATGAAGTGCATGCCTGATTTGGTTTAAACCTTAAAGGTCCAAAAGGTCATGAGAAATTTATACGCCATAAGGTTTGTGTAGTAGATTCGTTGTTCAAATTAACAAAGAAATGCGAAAACACTCCTCTGTTGATGATGAGCTCCAGTTTCTTCTTTTTCTAACCCAAAGTCCATTTGATTTGTGCACGTTTCTTGTACCCTCGACTTTAGTCCGTTTGCAACTTTAAATCTTCATCAAGCTTACATGGACGAAGATGGTCCTAGAAAAATGACGTAATGATGATGTAATTAAGAAATTTATTACTGAGTTTTAAAATATTTAATTTAGCCCATTGACTTCAATCGTCTTTACAACCAACAGCCACAAAAAAAACCAAAAAACAAAAAAACCACCAAAAAACAACCAAAAAAACCCAACCAAACAAAAAACGACCCTTGCACAAAAATGAGGCCTTTTCGAATAACACAGTATATCTTTATATCAGAAGATTCCTTAGGGTTTACTCCTTATACTGGCTGTGGACCTATGGATGTTCAGACCCGCCAAGAGGTTTCAAAATCCAGGAAAACAGGACACTCGCACAATGAACCTGGCTGTGGTGTCTACATTCAAGTCAAATTTGACGGACTGAGTTTGGATTTGAACAATATAAGTTTTAAGTCATGTTAAAGCGTATGAACCAGTCTTTTATATGCTGGAAGAACGAAATCAACACGAGGAACGGTTGAGAAGATGTGAATTAAAATTACTGTATGAGCCGGGTTATTCATTCGTTTTCAGATCGTTGTACACAGTGCCCGTGGTCTTTCCCAGGGTTGTTCCCTATGTTGTGGCTACAAATTCACATGATACACTTTGGGCCTTACTCCGAGCAGGAAAATATTTTATTGAAACAAACAACCTTTTTTGCCCTTTAATAAAACTAGTTCTGGGTCCAATATATTTACATTTCTGTGCATGATTTCGATAAGGACCTTTTAGCAATGACACAATGATATATCTTTTCATAAAAAAACAGCCGGGGCGTTGGTTTTCGTTATTCCAAGTTCACCCAGCTGAAAACAATAAAGAAGTCGGGGCCACGTTCCACTAGGGAAGTGGTGCTAAAATTGAACCTCGTGTTGCCTTTATTGGGAACTACAATAAAGTACCACCTGTTACTTCCTAAATGCTCCTAACATCGCAAATATTCATTTAGCTTGAACCAAACAGCTGGCCAAGGCAAATTCTGTATAATTTTCAAAGTAACAATGGAATAAATATGCACTTTTTCTGGGAATTTTCTGCCAGTTGTGACGTTTTAAAAGTAGGTTATGAAAGTTTTGAATGTAACAGGAACATTCAAATTTTCTTTGTAAATCAAACCAATTATAATTTGTTCTTTATGACAAACCAATGTTGAAATTACACAACTGCTTTTAGTGACAGGAAAATAAGACGCAGTATTCCAAACACTTTACCTGGGAGGAAATTCAACAGTGAATGAATGTTTCGTTTACATTGAAACGTCGGGCAGGTAAAAAACCAAAAATTATTTACATTGAACTGTTAAAAGACAAACTGCTGAATATCAGCCTAAGAAAGTTGTACATCCTTTGACCTCAGAGGGTTGCTTCCTGTGTTGAATAATTAAAGATCAACTCCAACGATGCTAACTTTTCTCATATTGAATCCTATTCAAAAGAGCCAAGTCTAATAAAAAGTTGCACGTACAATCTCCCTTGCAAGTAGTCATTTTTGTGTTAATAAAAAACAGATTTTCCCCCTTTTTCCTGAGAGTACAGTTAAATATTGTAAAACTGGACGAATTTTCACGATTCCTTCGCATATTTATTTCTATGATGAGTCACCGCGGAGAAATACTACAGTGCGTGCTCACTGGACTATAAACATGCGTAACACGCATAGCCGCGGACGACAGCACGAATTTGAAGAATACTCTCATTCATTGGAAACTCGAAAAATTTCAGTTCCGGATCTTTCTCAGCATTTCTAGTACATCCACATGACACACAATTTTGGCATTTCATGAATCATGAAGAAAGCAGCACAAGCTCTGAATGCGGCATAGGAGACCACACACACAGATCGATCCCCGGTACGCGGTACACTCGAATGTAACTCAATGTTCATGTACATATACATTTACATGTATATGTACGTTTGTAGCGGAACCACTCGCGCAACGGATACCAGTTTCAATGTTTCTCCGGTATTATATGATGCACATTTTGTTTCTCAACAGCACCGCCAGCAGTAAGATTGTGCGATTTTTTCATTAAACTCGAAGACACTGTTGAAAAATTTCGGCAAAATTACAAAAAATACAGACGCGACACAGACGTGATTTGGTGATTAATATATGATGTATTACATAACACACTAAACGGTTTTTCAAAACTTTAAAAACTGTTGGAGTTGGTCTTTCAAATCACACGAGAACACTTTCAGCAATTTCTACAGTTCATTGATGCCAGATGGATGGACACGAACGTTGGCAGTGACGTCAAGCTACAACAGCCAACCTGACTTCAGCTGATTACGGCACCCGTTCAGACTGTACCAAAGAGAGCTAGCGCGCGATGAGTTTGCCGTACACTCGACTTGCTCGCGGTGTTCTCGCGACCATCGCCTCCTTCGTGGTCTATATCCTTCACAGGACGGTGGTGAAGGCCTTGGGCATGCTTTTGGTGGCAATTCGGGATGACTTCGAGACCGACACCTGGGTCGCTGGAACGGTGTTTTCCGCAACCGACTGCGTCACCGATATGACTGGTGAGTAGAATACGTAATTATCCTCTGTAACTTCTCTTCCCTTCGTTGATACATCTTTCAAATTCCCCAAACCCATTTCATGACATTCGGGGGGGGGGTAACATTTAAGTACCCCACCAGGACAACGATTGTATAGTTTCAATACGAACCCCAGCGATTTTTCCCTAGGTGGGGGAGTCAATATATATGAATTTTCCATTAGGCCTACTGTTCAACTGAACTCCAGTGACCCAGCGTACGTGTTTGCACAGTGACCGCGATCCAATCACTTGAAGTTTTATTCTTTGAATGCTTCATATGCTGAGAATAGACCATAATTAAGTTTGAACAATAACTTTTGTTGGTTGCATTTTGGATAGTAGCAAAATGTGTACCAGTAGTTTCTCCATGAAGTCGACTAGCCTTTGTTTTGGTAAACATACACTTTTGTATTTGTTGTCGTGCCATGTAGTGTAGTGTAGTGTTGTGTAGTATCGTATGTTATAGTGAAGCGACAGCCATGACTCAGCCATAGCCGAAGCGATAGCTATGGCACGGGCACGGGCAAAGCACAGCACAGCATACTTCTGTCTGTGGCAGCACACTGTTACAGCACTCTTTACTGATCACTGTTGAGGTCCAATGGACTACCAGAAGACTATTATCCATTTAACGGTCAGGGAAGCTATTACGTGCGGTCCTAGCCCTGCACTCAGAGGTCACTTTTGTCGTCGTGTTTGTCCTTGTCGTAGGTCCAATAGTGGGACCCATAGGCAAGCGCTTCGGTTATCGAAGAGTCTGCATGTTTGCCGGGGCGATGACTGCTGCTGCCGTCATCGTGGCTTCACAGGCACCGAGTTTTCTGCTATTGGCAATCCCACTCATCGGACCAGCAGGTATGCATTTTGTTTGGTTCTTGTTCGACGACTAAGCGCGTACTTGGAAGTTGGAGTTTGCATTACTGGACCGAGCGCAGTCTAGTGTGGCTTTCTTCGTTTTCATGGGCTCCAGCGCTAAACGGGTATATATCCCTTGTCGCTGAAATTGTGGGTAACAGGTGATCCCAAAAGAAAAGAAACCGCAGGAGTGAGAGTAACAATTAGCTGACCCTGAAGCGGACAGGGCCAAGTTGCATAGGTTTACGTGCACTGGCCACTGATCTCTATATCAGTGGCACTGGCACAATGGTCTGCTTGCCTCACCCATGTATAATTAGGGTTCACCAGTGAATAATATTGTGGGAGAAATATTTTTTTTTCTGGTTTAAGCATATTACTTTCTGTTTCATGTGTGTGTCATTATTACCCTTGTAGGCCTATTGTAGTTAAGTTTGAAACTATTTATTCTGGAAAGCATTCGTATTTTGTTCGTTCTATCTTTGTTTAACTACGGAGGAAGGAACGAGCACGCAAATCCATGGAAGTTCTTTGCCTTGCAATATTCATGAACCAACTGTTAGTGTTTTAACATTGACAAAGCAATTAAGGCATGCCATCATGTTCTATTGTACACATTTACTAGTGACAACCAACAGTGTGAAAGTTGCAAAGCAAATAAAGTAATCCTCACTAAATCCCACCAAACATAGTATTCAACTTCAAGGCTCTACAGAACATGCAACGTGCTTCAAGTAATTCCCAAAAAAAATCGAGTAAAGTTAGTTCTTTAGTTTGGGCATTCTTATGCTCCATTTTGGTTGACATAAAACCTCATATTCATGGGAAAGGATACCAGTGCGTTTTTAGAGATACATGTAAATAGTTTTCCCAGTTAATTAAGTAAACACAAATTCTCAAAAATGACAGAAAGTGTGCATCACCTTAAATTTGACTTCACCGCAGCTTTGCATGTTGTTTGGGGATCATCATTATTATTTACGGTATTTATTACTTTTTGTTATTCATCTGAAGACTTTGGCTATTTATCTAATCCTAAAAAGTCGTGTCGAATTCCAGGCCTGCCACATGTTTTGTGAAAACATTTTTTTTCCAGCTCTGACTCTTCCACAGAGTTTGGAGTAAATTTTGGCACGTAATTTTGTTATAATCAAGATTACATATACTAAACCCTGCAGACTTTTCCCCGCTCCATTTCGTTAGTAAAGTTGTGAACATGTTTAAATTCATCCAGACTATACCAAGTATATTATTTGAGTATCTAGTTATTACAGTTTGAATGACAACACCTAATTTGTAATTAAATTTGTTTACCAACACATCCTATTTGGAAGTAACATCCAATTTGAATTAGAATCAGTTCATTTTAATGACAAGAATGATGGACATCACATCAGTAACGATGAAAAGAGGCATACTCAACGCACGCTTTTACATTTATGGTACGAACCAACTTTGAATGAACGAGCCTCCATCCATCGGGGGGCAGGCACTTGCCTCCATCAAACGGGGGCATACTCAATGCATGCATTTACATTTCTTGTACAACCCAACTGTGAATGAACGCGTCTCCATCAATCGGGGGCGAGGCAGCCACTTGCCTCTATCAAACAGGGGCATACTCAACGCACACTTATCGTTTTACATTTCTTCTACAACCCGATTGTGAATGAACACGCCTCCACCTATCCCGGGCGAGGTAGGCACTCGCCTCCATCAAACAGGGGCATAGTCAACGCACGCTTTTACATTTCTTGTACAACCAAACTGTGAATGAACGCGCCTCCATCTATCGGGGGCGAGGTAGGCACTTGCCTCCATTAAGCGGGGGCGGGCCATGCACTCGCTTTAAATTTCATCTAAGTGGCTCATGTACAATTTGATCTTACAGTGTCAGTACAGTTGATACAATCAACACAGACACAGCTTAATGAAGGCTGCGACTCGCAAGGTCCCCTTGTTACCCACAGTCTCAATTTTTCCGCGTCTGTATGTTTGCCAGTCCCGATGTTCTCTGATCCCTACTTCTCCTTATTTTTTTCTTCACTCGAGCTGGAACAAGATCTGGGGAACTTGAAATAGACCCCCCCGGGAAGCTGCTAATAGGAAGCCTATATTTTTGGCTTAACTTAAGTGACTATTGCGTGCCATGGTACTCTAAATAAAATTTAGGAGGTTGTGGGTGAAAACGTGATGAAATAAAAAAAAAAAACAAAAACAAATAAATGACTCCGTTATTGTTTCACATGGTACACAATGTGGGCATACAAAATTACTATGTCCACACTTGTAATCCCAAGTCCGGGTTAATGGGGTTATCAGATAAATGCAGTTTTTGTGGAATAATATTTTTGGACATTTTTGCATACATATATTTTTTGCAGGAGCGGTGAAAATTAAAGGTTTATGAGTCCGTCCAGGAAAGATTACTTAAGATATTTGATGTTTCACATCGGCCATTAGACTTAAACTTCAGTCTGTATAAATGCAGTGCATCTGTTTAAGGACTTGGAGCAGAAGTAAATGAGATCGGGTCTTTGTGTCGCTTTACAGTAAAATAGTTGTGTAAATTCCTCACCGTCCAAGCAAATGCACAGAGCGGATCAACCTTGACACCGGCATGGATATCTTGTGTGAGGCGGTGCATTACGAGACGCTGTTCAACCTTTCATTGTGTTGAGAACATGGGTCGATCACTGGCATCGGTAACATTTTGCACAAGATATGATGTTGGCATTTATGTTACGAACAACACAAGGCTGCATGATGGTTTCTCAGCCTTGAACCCTTAGCAGCCCGGCCAGCCGGCCCGACCTAGCTTCCATGTACATCTGTCGTCAGCAAAGCATTTTCTCAACTTTTGCGTTTGCAGTAAAATTTTCATGGTTTTGAAACACTACTCAAAAGAATTAGAGGAACAAGAGAACAGAATGTTTTTGTCATGGTCTATATGGGCTACCGTTTCGGAACAAGAGGCATTAAAGTTATGTGAAAATCATTCAGGTGTTGTCAATTGGTTCTCAAACAATACTCAACAATGTTGGTGCAATCATGCGAGTCATTCTGTTCTCTTGTTCCTTAAATTCTTTTGAATAGTGTATTATGTATTCAGTTGAGCTTCACTGTACTGTAAATTACCCCCACCGTACAAGCGACTAGCGTGGAGAAACAGGGAAGACTTATGTGAGAGCGTATTCTTGTTCCAGTTTTGATCCTCTCAGACAATTCCGTTATGATTGAAAAAGTGGTCAAATTGAGCCCATTTTCTCTATATGTTTGAGACAGTCGAGGACAGGAAAACAATTGAACTTATAAGAAGCAATGTTGTTTTCGAATACACAAGAAATATTACATCTTGACAAGCCAAATTGCGCTGTATAGGCCTATTGGCCATGAATTATTGCAGAATTTCATGCAAGTGGTCACACAATGACAAGTAACCACATGTACATGTGCATGTACAGGTACATGTACAGTACATGTGCTTGCACATACACATATGTACGTATGTACAGGAAGTCAGGGTGAAGCTACATGTACAGTGTACACTTAGAAAAACCCGGGTTCGCAAAAGCCACACTAGACTGGGCTCGGTCCAGTTAAACCGGTTTAACACTTTTGAATGACAACTTTCGTCCCACTTAAGTTAACTTTTAGAAGGATATAAAGACAGTACAGGAAGACATCTAAATTTGTAATACATCAATCATAAACCGTCCTTATTTCCGTTGCAAATTAATCCTCTCGCTTCCCAATAATGTGTTTTAAGCGTTTGGATTTGAATTCCATAAAATGGAGAAATTTTCTGTCTTTCCTTTCAAGCAACTACCACCCAAATATGCTACAGAGTCCTTTGCATCTGTGCGAATTTGAATGCATATTACAATCATCAATTGATTACCTAGAAATAACATTCATTTTAGTTTTTAGCAAAGTAATAAAAATATGATGGCGAAATTGGAAAACAAAAAAGTATGCTCATTCATTTTTGCACTCGCCCAGCCAAAAGGTAAGATTATAGTCAAATGAATTCATAAATACAATATTTATATATAAATACAATATCTGGATGGCATACTTGATAACAAGCGTCAAGATGGCAACCTAACTAAATCAAACAGTTTCTATTATGAATGATAAATTGGTGATTTTGAAAACTAGTTTGAACATCTATAAATAATATTTAAGAACAGCAGAATAGGCAATGTGCAGGAAGTGCCTGAAATAACTCAACCCTAAGGCAATTATTATTCTCTTCGTACCAGACTGACAAGAAATCCAGCTGTGGGTATACGCTATTTAGAACAAACTCAAATTGCAATGTCAATGACTCTACAAACACCCAATTCTTCTTAATTGAAAAGAACCTCTAAGGAAAACCTGTTTTCTCTGATTTTATCTGTCCAAATAAATCTTAAAGCATTCAAATCGAATGCAGTGTCATTTGTCTTCAGAGCTCAACTACAACAAACTAAAAGTTCCGTTTTTTCTGTTCATGCTGAGGTGCGAATTTTGAATGTAAATTTCGTCATTCTGAGAAAATAGAGAAAAGGGGGGGGGAACCCTCACCTATGTTCGTAGTGGATAAACCTGTGTACACGCCAAACAATGGCTGCATGCATTATTTGGCATACACAGGGTTTATCCACAGTTAACAGGGGGCGAGGGTTCCCGTCGTTTTCTCCGTCTTCTCAGAATGAGGCAATCTACATTCAGGATTGGCATCTTGGTTTGAACAGGAAAAGGGCCTTTGAACTTGAAATAGATGAGCTCTAAAGACAAGTGACATTGCATTCGATTTGCTTTCAGATTTATTTGAACAGATAAAATTAGAGAAAAGGTGGTTTCCTTAGAGGTGCTCTTTAACAAACATAAAACCTACCTCACAATTTAATGGACATTCCTTGGTTTGGGCTTCTGTCAAATTGATTTCCGCCTATCTGCAACTTTTTGCCATCAGCTCTTGGACGCAGCGTTGTCATCATACTCGTCTGTGCAACCCTCAGCAAACATCTGGACAACAGAGAATTTGCTCTGGCATCGGGAATTGCAAAAACGGGCGCCGCCCTGGGCTACACCGCCATACCGCCGGTGGTGCAGCTATGCCTGGATACATATGGATGGAGGGGAACCCTGCTGATCTTGGGTGCACTATGCGCTCACTTGGTAGTGTGCGGCGCTTTGATCGTATCCTCAGAAACAGGGGACGCCGGAACAAATCTTAAAAGTGGCTACCAGTCACTGTCAAATGACGACACATGCCCTGACACAGAAGGATTACAGCAAGAACCGAATCCACAACGCCTCCTGCTGCCACTGAAGTCCTTCTATCAACGCGTGGAGGCTGCTATTGGTCTATCCGTGATATTTGACTTTAACTTTTGGAGAGCGACACAAATAAATATCATAAGTAAGATTGCACTGATGGCCTGGGTAATTTATTTTGTACCACACGCAGAAAACAGGGGATTTTCGGGAGAAACTGCTGCGCTGATGGTTACAGTAGCAGGAGTGGGTCATCTTGCTGGCATCCTTATCGGTAGCTTGCTTGTTTTTAAAGGAATCCTGTCCAGTATGGGCTGCCTTATGTTAGCGATTCCTTTCACTGCAGTGCCGCTATGCATCGATACCTGGATGACCAGTAGGTGGTTAATGACGGCCAATGCCACGGTTCTCATGCTCGCCCTTGGCTGCTCGTTCACGATGTCCACGGTCGTGCTGAAGGACGTACTCGGAGACGAGAAATTCACTTCCGCCATCGGTTGGATGACTTTCTTCTCTGGCCTCTTCAAATTGCTGGGTGGCTTCATTCCAGGTGAAGAAAACACCCCCTAACCACGCTTCCCGATCAATATATCCCAGAGAAATATAAAATCTCCGTATTGGAGACGAATTCGGTACCTTTTCCTCGGATTTTCCTATGGTACTCTGTAATGTTGGAAAGCAATATGTTTGGTACAGTACAATAGTTGTATTACAGTGGGTTACCGCCATTGGCAGGGGCCAAAGCTACTTTACTAGTGACGGCATTTCCGTTCTCTTCATTTTGTCCCCAGCCCTTCATTTGTTTATTGGCTTTTTCGCAAGTTGCAAAAAATGCATTACTTTTGTTTTTTTTCTTTGGCTTGTTTGCAAGCTGGAAAAAGGCATTATATGTACTTCTGTTCTGCTGTTTGGCTTTTGTGCAAGTTCCGAAAAAGGCACTCTGTTTGTTCCTTTTTTTTTCTTCATCATCTTCATCTGCCCAAATCCCCTTCCTTTGTACACGTTTCTTCCACCACCATCTTTAGTCCCTTAGAAACTTTAGATCTCCATCAAACTTACATCAGTGAAGGACCCTTGTGTAAAAATGTATCTATAACAATGACGTAATGATTACTTTGTCTAGTGATTTATTATTGATTTTTTAATAGTTATTTCAGCCCATTGACTTTGTACACGTTTTCATGACACTATTTTGGTCATTTGCTGACCTTCAATTGTAACCAAAGTTACAGCCGACAAAGACCCTGATACAAAATAAGTCCAAATTTATGACGTCATGATGCCATTATAATTTTTTAAATTGATCTTTTAATATTTAATTTGCCCCATAGGTTTTGTACAAGTTTTTCAAGTGCCAGACATTGGGACTTTGTTTACTATAATTGATTTCATATTGGTGAACACTTGTAGTCGCCCACGTAGAGAGGGTCCCACACCAGAATCGTCATAATGGCATTATCAGGGGTCACGTGACATGAGATTAAGGAGGCATTTTTTCCATAGGTTTTGTACACGTTGTTTTTACTTCACTTTACACGTGACGAGTCACGTGACATTAAGGGTGCACTTTTCAAAGCACTTTATCTCGTGACGTTTATATCTGGCTGAATTTAAACCTTGCAGATATCTTGAAAGGGGAAGGCTTTAGACGAACATAGACCTTAAGTGATGATGACGTCATCATGTGACATGTGACGTGACATTACAGGTGCACTCTTCAAAACACTATATCTTGTTAAGTACATGTCTGATTGGTTTGAACATTGCTGAGATCTTGAATGGAAGTGATTACAACGGGTATTGACCTGATGTGATGACGCCATCATGCAGGTCACTTGGTATGTGGAATGTACAAAGCACCATATCTTCTTAATTGCATGTCGTATTGTGTTCAAACTTTGCTGATATCTTGAAAGGATAGTGACGTAGGAGAATATTGACCTCATGCGGAGTGACATCATCAGGTTAGAAACCAAGTGACATTAGAGTTTCATTTTTTACAGCCCTTTTTTGTGATGAACATGTCCAATTGGGTAGAAATTCGGTAGGTAGCGAGAACTGGACGAGTTACCTACGGAGTGAAGTGATGTTAAAGGTGCACACTTTATTCTCAATATTTTCTAATGTCCAGAAGGGTTTGCACATTTTGTCATTATGACGTCACCAAAGAAAATATTAGAATTATATTTACAAATAGGTCATTTGGGAGACATTTTGTGGTAACTTTTTCAGCATTAGGGAGACATTGACTTTTAGGGGGACATTTCAGTGTTTCCTTATTTTCAAACTACCAGAAGGAGGCCGAATTTCACCGTCCAAATTTTGAGAGATGAGAGATCAGGGTCCAAAATGAAAACATACAAAGTTTGGTTCAGATCAGGCTAAGGAATATTTAATTACGATACAGTACATTTAGAAATATTTTGTGCACGTTCTTATGGGAATGTCTCCCTAGTGACCCGTTAGCGGTAATTATTATATCTGTAAATATTTGTAGCTCTGGGGTAGATCTTTGAGGAAAAAGTGAGAAACGGAAATGTAATATTATATCAAACAATTAGATGCCTTTTTCTTGATAAAAATAAGAAAATGAGGAAAAGCCCTTTGCTCTGTCCTAAAGATAGACGGACCTTTAGTGTTTTCTTGCTTCATTGATGCTGAACCAAAACTTTCTTCAAAAAAAATGTTTACCCTCAATATACACATCAATGGTATGGGAAATTCGGTAGGTACTTTTCTGATGTGATAAAATCTGAAACAAATCTCTAAAATTGAAAAAAAAAAACACTCTCTCCCAAACCTCAGTCAGTAAAGCATGGCTTTTGTAGCAATGGGTTTTTCATTTATTGTTGTTCATTTCGTCTCCCGTGTTCAGGTTGGGTGTTTGATCACAGCGGCAGCTTTGAGGTTGGATTCGCCATCATAGGCGCTACGCAGTTCATACCGTTTATACCAATTATCGCTCAGAGACTGCTGTGCTCCAAAACAAATTAAACGATCCAGCTTATTCTGTTGAAAAATTTACACTCATCAGAAGTCTACTCCATGGGAATATGATGACAGCAATAAGCCCTTTGCACAGCTCTGTAAAACACGGGTGGATGTTAAAAAAAATCTCGACGTAGGTAATAGATAAAACATAATGTTGGTGTGGAGACCAAAGCAGGCAGTCTTCTTAATTAGGAAATGACCACAAAGACGTAATCGCAAGTGCAGTGAGGGCAATGCCGTTCTTTATTAAGCGTTCATTAGCATATCTGAAGTATAGTAGTCACAATAGCATGGCATTTTAAGTGAAATATGTATGCTTACTGCAAATTTAAACCTTTCAAATGGAGCCGTTCTTTCCGTCATACTTCAAAGAGGTATATAGATCTAAGGCACCAATGTTCCATTCAACATACAACTTATTAATTTTGGATTTTGCCCTGCCCGGAGTGTATTTAACAGTGTATACTCAGTGTATGCCCCGAAGGCTTGTAAAAAATCCCACAAGCGTACTTGCGTGGGACTCGAAACCACGACTTCCTGCTAACTTGTGCAGACGTCTTGACCACTCGACCACCGATTTTGCCGATTTCGGCTGGCTGGTTCGAATCAGATGTAGCATTTAATTCAATTTACGACAAATACGACTTATTCCGATATAGATGTAAATACCAGTTTCACGTTACAGGTTAACACTGTTCCTTTTTTAGTTTATGTCATTGCCAAATTAAGCAATGACCTATATAAACTCGTAGCCGGTTTGAAGCTTACCCAGGATGGAAAACATCGAAACTTTGTTTCCCCAATGAATTTTACTATTCTTTTCTACAAAAATTTCAGTTAAAGTACATTTCATTTTAACATAAAATCTTATCAGAAAATCAGCAACAGCGGCATATAGACGAAGGGTGATGTAATACTGTCTGATAGCAAAATGTCGAATTGGTCAAATATTTTTGCAATTGTCTTTTATTTTGCGGGGAAAGACGTCAGCATCATTTTTAACATATTATTTTTAAGGAGTATTGAGGTTACAGTAATCTCTCTCAGCGGTTAATCTTATCAGAATTTTTTAAATATTGGTAGTGGGTTATAACTATTATTCCAGGGAATAGTTGATTAACTTGATATTTTTGAGATATGTGGTTTGAAACATGTTATATCTTGTCGGTCTTGGAAATATAATTTAGATTTTAAAGGCGACTTTGCCCAAAGATTTAATAGTTACAATATTATTAGTTATGCGTTTGATCTTTTCATCCTTATTGAGAAATTCGATTTTCAAGTGTTAGGCCTAATCAAGGAATTTCAGCTTTGTTATCCTTTTCTTGAGGAATAACCTAGATTACCAATGTTAAGAACAACCACTTTAGTGATGTTGATTGTCTAATATAGAATGATAGAAGCCGAAATAGTGTCCTGACAACATCGGAAATACCGAAAAACGCGTTTTTGAGTACCAAACTTAAAGGAGTTTTGCTGAATTGCGAAACAAAAATCGTGAATGTGAATATAATTACGTGTAAATGTAATATTAATTACGTGTAAATGTACTTCAAAATCGAGGCATGATAAACCTGTGTAAGAGAATTATATTACTCACTTTAAGGTACAGGGAAAAAGTGACTCCAAACACTTCAACCGACATGACCGACAAGAAGATTCCGGGATGACTGAATGAGTCATTTACAATTTCAATGTTTACAAAGAAGAACTCGGTGCATTTTGACCCAAACAAGCTATGCATTCTTCTACCACGGGCGGATGTTTTCGGTGCTGGGGCACTCTAAACCATACAATAGCACTGAAAGTTGAATCAGTTTCAGTAGATATAAGAAACATGTGCCCCATGATGAGTCGCTTGGGACATTTTTAGACTTTTAAAGCCGAGATGCAGGGACCCTCAAAACTTTGATTGAAATACTGACCACGTTACTAGCGTGCACACCGGAAAGGCCGCAAATAGGAGGCATGACTGGCCAGACATAAATCTTGTATGACAACACGACTGACCGAGTTGGACCGTTTTCAGACATTTTAAAGAGAACCAACTTTTACTGGGGGAAAAAAAAAACCTTCAAAGTCCATACACATATATACAAACCAGAAAGCATTTCTCTCAGACTTGTTTTTTTTTTCGTTCGATAATATTCCTCCAATCTTTTAAAATAAGGAATCTAGACTTCTAACAGTGGTCAAAGAAACACGTGCCCTTTTGGATACAATTGCAGACCTTTATAGTTGATTTATATAGATACCCAAGTTTGATGATAAAGAGGCGTATTAACTAATGTACGTGGCAAATCTGGAAATGAAACCTGTACATGTATCTGTGGATAAAGAATATATGATGAATGTATGACACTACGCATGGTCGATTTGTAACGCATTTGGACTTTTAAAGCTCAATATACTGAGACAAAGGCATGGCAGACCATGTAACATCAAACCAAATAAGAAGCTATTGGAAAATCAAGAGATGAGATGCAAGGCTGACTAAACTTTCCACCTTTGTCTCACAAATCTCGCTCAGATGATTTCAATTTTGGAAATGAAACTTTTACTAGTGGATCTTTGAAAATTCCAATTCATGTGGCACCAACATATGCAGAATGGACCCTTTCAGAAGTTTTATGTTCAAATAGAGGGACCAATCTTTGCCCAGGAAGTAGCCCAGTAACCCGTCGATAAATAGACCATTTCACAAATTACAAGCTGAAGAACTAAAACTCTTTCGCTGAAATTTCCCTAACTAAAGGAAACAAGAATGCGAAACTTACGTCAATGGATAAAAGAGCATGTGGCTTTTCAGATGCCACTACGATTGCCAGATGTGGACAATTTTCGTGCCTCTCATGCTCAATTACATGGCGGCAATTTGTGCGGGAAGAGAACCTGTAACGTGTGTACTATTAGCGAGTTGCACAAACATTGCTAGCAATAGAACACAAACACCTGCCTTCTTTAGGGATGTTCCCCTAACTAAACGTGATATGGATATGAAACGTACGTCACGGATAAAAGATAATGTGCCTTTCAGATGCCATCGCGATTACCAGATCTGGACAAATTTCAGGCCTTTTTTGCTCGAATATATTGAGCTATTTTCCGCGGGAAGAGGACTTGCAGCGGTGCATAAAGGGAGAATTCCACAAATCACTAGATCAAAAATTCCCTCCTTCGTTTGGGGAATATTTCCCTAACCAGTAATAATATGGATATAATATGTTTATCAATAGATATAGTCACATGTGCCCAGGAATATGTCACCCACGATCGCCACATTTGGACAATTTTGATGAATTTTTGAAAACCTTTTAGACCTTTTAAGCTCAAACACACAAAGAAATCTTTGTGCTAGAATTGGACCGGTAATGTTTTGACGAAGGTGAACTGCACAAACATAGCATTCACTGGGAAACGAACTACTGCCTTCTTTTGGGCTGTTTTGGACACTAAAAGAAATATAGATATGAATGTATGAATATATATATATATATATACATATGGATATAAAATACATCAATAGTAGAGGAATATATGCCCTTGCAGATCGCCTGATTTGGATAATTTTGAAACATTTGAAATCGAACAGATTGAGCCATCTTGGTACGGGAAGAGGACCGGAAAAGTGTGAAAAAGCGGTGAATTGCACAGAAATAGCAAACGCTGCGGAAAACAGTACTGAGCCTGATGCGTATATTTCCCTTAACAGATAAAATATGGATGTGAAATTTAAATCAATAAATAGAAGAAAATGTGCCCTTCAGATGCCAACATGATTGCAAGATTTGTACAATTTTCAGAAATTTTTATAATCGAACATATTTAGGCATCTTTGCGCAGGAAGACGACTGGAAGCGTGTTGACAAAGGGAGAAGAAGCAAGCACCAGGAAAGGAACCCCTCCCTTCTTCCGCAGATATTTCCCTAACTACCAGAAATGTGGACATGAAACGGACAACAATGGATAGAAAATGTGCTCTGCGTGGAGGGGGTGGCCTTTTTGTAGAGGACACTGGAACTAATTAAGATGCCACCATGATGGACATTGGACTTGGACATTACTGAGACATTTATAATATATTTCGCAATCTTTGCGCGGGAAGCTGGCCTGAAACGTTACACAGACATAGCAAACACCACGAAAAGAATACTAAATTTCTTGTGTATATTTTCGATAAATTATGGATATATATATACAATTTTAATCAATAAATAGGAACATGTACCCTTTAACATGCCAAATATACGGAGGCATCTATGCACGGGATGAGGAAAAATTGTTTAAAAAATAGCAAGCACTACGACAGTAACTCTCGCCTTCCTCCGCAGATATTCCCCCAACTAAAGTAAACATTGATATGAAACTTGGCTCAATCGATAGAGAATCATTCAGACGCCACCAAGATTGCCAGATATGCACAATTTTTTAAGCCCTTTATGTGGCACCATGATTGCCATACTTGTTCAATGCTCCAATACATGAAGCCATTTATGCACGAAAAGAAGCCGCGTATAGACAAACGCAAATGTGCACAAAAATAGCAAGTAGTATGATAAGATCCCTAACTCAAGCAATTATGGATATAAGCTTCCATTGATAGAAGATTTTTTGAGCGTTCTGATGCCAGCAGGATTGTTTTATTATCTAAACGCGGACAAAGACCTGTAACGAGCGTTTTGATGCCACGGAGATTTGGACAATTTTTAGCTATCTAAGTTGCAATATAGGGAGAGATTTTTCCATGGGAAGAATTGCAAGATTTAGACAATATTCAGGCATATTATGCTGCAAACTTTGGAGTCATCCAAGCGCTTTAGAAGGATGCGTAAAGTTAAGACAAGTAGAATATTTGATAATATAGCAAGCAACAAGACAAGAATGCATATTTCTATAACTAAAGCAAATATGGATAAGAAACTTACGTCAATAGATGGAGGTTCTTAAACCGTTTTAATCGGCACCACAATGGCCGGATGTGGTAATTTCTTTTACACATTTTATGCTTCAATATATGGAGCCATTTATGCCAGGGAAAAGGACATGTAACGTGTAGACCAGCTGATAATTGTAGGCAAAAAGGAAATAGTAGAAAAAACAATCTGCCTTGTTTAGTTGATATTTCCCTAACTAATGCAAATGTAGACATGAAACCCAAGAAAATGGAAGATATTTCAAGCGTTTAGCTGCCACCAGGTTTACCAGATTTGAACAATTTTCAGACATGATATCCTAAAATATGTGGAAACCTTGCACGGCTAGAGGTTATAGGCAAGTGGAAAATTACACAAAAATAGCAAGCAATAGGCAAGCAGATCATTCCCTAACAAGAGCGCATAATATGAATATTAAACCTACCTCATTAGGTTGAAGATCTTGAGACCTTGCAGATGCTACCAAGATTGCCAGATTTTAACAAGTTTCAGACGTTTTATCACCAAAAACATGGAGCCAAATTTGTGCGGGAAGAGGACGTCAAACCTATGGGCAAGCGGAAAATTACACAAAATATCACGCAGTAGGACAAGACATCCTGCATTCGTCCGTGAATATTATAATTATTATTATCTAAAGCAAAAATAGAAAATATAGATAAGACTGATAAAAGATCTTGTAAGCATAGAGATGAAAAAAAGAATTGCCATATTTGCAAAAATTTTCAGGCATTTTAAAATCTGCTATTTGGAGGCAACATTGCGAAGGAAGAGCTTATGCAACGTGTAGGGAGCTAGCTGTACGACAAAACCCTTGCCTATTTCCGCAGATAATTTCCTAACTGGAGCAAATATGGACATGAAACCTACATCATTAGGTTGAGGATCTTGAACAACCAGATTTTCACAATTTCCATACATTTTATCCTCTAAAATAAGGAGCCAACTTTGCGTGGGAAGAGGTCGTGAAACGTGTAAGCAGGCAGAAATATTCTACGCAAAAGCTATCAGTACGACAATAAGTCTTGTTTACTTCCGCAATAATTTCTCTAACTGGAGAAAACATTGATGTGAAACCTACATCGTTAACTGGAGCATCATGAACCCGTTCAGATGGTACCAGGATTGCCAGATTTGGACAAGTTTCAGACATTTTATCCTTTAAAATTTGGAACCAATTTTGCGTGGGAAGATTTTGTGTAGGGTACAGGTAGGCGGAAAAATGGCACACAAATTGCAAAATATACGAAACAATGCCCATTTCCGCAGATATTTCCGTCACTGGAGCAAATATGGAAATGAAACATATATGATGGCGGATGATCAGGTGTTTTATGACGCGATATGTGGACTCATTTTTGAGCAGGAACACGACCTATATATATCTATAGATCTATATTTTCAGACAAATAAAAAATCGCACAAACTAGCAAGTAATACTGCCTGCTTTTGAGGATATTTTCCTAACTGAAACGAATATGTATATGAAACCTACATCAATAGATACCGCCAAGACGGCCAGATTAGGAAATTTGTCAAGTCTTTTATGATAAAACACATGGAAGCAATTGTGGCATGGAACATGACCAACAATGAGCAGACGAAGCGGGAATTCAGTAAAAAATACTGTAAGAAAAATAAGAACTTGTGCCTTCGTTCGCAGGTATTTTCCCAAAGTAAAGCGAATAAGGAGATGAAACTTACATCAATGGATAGTGGGACATTCGCCCTTTTAGATGCCACCAAGATGGCCATATTCGGACAATTGTTAAGTCTTTGAAGATCGATTACATGGAGGCAACTGGGAGGGAACAGAACCAAGAATATGCAGACGAAGCGGCAATTTCAGAATTCCATAAAACGAATAGGGATACGAAACTTCAAACAATGGATATAAAAAAAAATTGACCTTTCATATTCCAACAAGATGGCCAGATTTGCGGTTTTATTATGACACGCTATCCATCTTTGGTCGCTAACACGACCTGTAATGTACAGACAAATTAGAAATCGCGCATAGCAGCGAGTAATACGATCAGAACTTTTGCCTGCGTTAGATATCTTCATAACGAATATGGATATTAAAATTATATCAATGAGAGGAAACACATTCCCACTTTCAGATGCCTCCAAGTTGGCCCGATTTGGACAATTGTCAAGTATTTTATGATCAAATATATGGAGGCAACTTTAGGAGGGAACAGGGCCAAGAATTTGCGGACGAAACGGGAATTCCATAAAAAATAGCACGGGAAAATGAGTTTACGTGCTTCTTTCGAGGATATTTTCCTAAATAAAACGAATATTGATATGAAATATACATCAATGGATAGAGGGATATTCACCCTCTCAGATGCCACCACAATGGCCAGATTTCGGGCCAGATTTCAGATGTTTTATGACGCGACATGTGGAGCC